GAGTCTGTCAGTCTAAAAAGGAATCTGGGATTCCACATTTCTCATAGGCTTTTGTGTGATGCCAATACTGCATGCCTGAGGCCCTCACCTTGAGGTAAGGACCCACACTCCCTCATTTGGAGAAGGAAAATTTTATCAAACAAACAAGCAAACAAACGTATTTGCAGTTCCTGATGAGAGCTAAAAATGGTTGCTAATTTTAGTAGTGATAATTTGCAAAGGGTGAATGTGGGTGTGGGTGTGGGTGTGTGTGTGTGGGGGGGGTGGGCAGACCGGGGACCCTTGCAGGGATTGTACTTAAACAGCTGCAGCCTCCCTGCTACAGGCAGCTGTTCCTATCACTCTCTGGGAGAGGGCATCCCCTGGAGAATGAAGGTTTGTGAAGCACTCTCTGGCGGGGGCTGCCCCCCAGACATTTGTACTCAGGAATTCCTGTGAGCATATCAGCTCACCTCCTCAGAGGTTAAGCCTGTGGCTTAGCCTGGAGCCAGGTGAGATGCTTGGTGACAGAAACCCAGGCTAGGGGAAGCAGCTAAACGCCAATACGGTTTTCCTGGGAGTTTGGAGACATCGCTCAGGAGAGAAGCCAATGGGAATGCCGGGAAGCCTTAGGGGCACCCGAGGCTTTGGGCCTGGGAAAGACTGGACCTTTCTCTGTCTATTTCTTCTTTGTGTAGCCTCCCTTCTACAGACAGGCTCATCCCACAGGCTGAGAGACAAGGCTGCTCCCAGCTCCCAGAGCCTGTCAACGTCAGGAACCTCAGGACCCATAGACTCTCTCATCTCAGTTCTAGAGAATGCCAGGGAAGGCCACTGGTTGGCCACTTTAGGTCAGATGACAGTTCCGTGTCCACCAGTTTGCTGTCCTTTCTCTACTTAAACTCTTTCCCTCATCCTGTCTTATTCCGCCGTTTCATGGCTTTGTATTATTTTAAAGACTTTATTTTTAATTACGTGTATATATGTGTGTCTGTATGTGTGGGTTTGTGCATGTGAGTGTAGGTGCCTGCGGAGGCCAGACCAGGCAGCTGGATCTCCTCGAGCTGGAGTTACAGGTGGTTGAGAGCCCCACTGTGTGGGTGCTGGGACCAAAACTTGGGGACTCTGTTAGAGTGTCAAGCAATCTTAACTTCTCAGCCATCCCTCCAACCCCAAGTGTTTGTTTTTTGATCATGTAACCGTCTTGGACTGGGGCTGGGACATGTCTCCACAAGGTACCCTATTCATACACCCAGGTTTCTCTGGCTTTACCACTTTCTCTGGCCTGTGTAATATCCAGCAAAAAGCAAGAGAATGCCAGGCAGGCACATTTGTTTCCTAAGCATCTTAGCCTGGAAGTAGCCTACGTCATTTCTGCTCCATCTCACTGGTGAGAACCAAACACAAGGCCACACATAGATGCCTAGAGAAGAAGTGTAACCCTTGGGTGTGGAGAGACACCCCAGGAATAATTTGAAATAATTTTCACTCCGTGAAAAAGAAGAGCCAACCATAGCAGTCACTGAGCCATGTGTGGGAAACTGTGATGTTAAGATTGATTGCCAAGGGGCTGAAGAGATGGCTCAGTAGTTAAGAGCACTGACTGCTCTGCCAGAGGACCGGGGTTCAATCCCCAGCACCCACACGGCAGCTCACAACTGTCTGTAATTCTAGTTCCAGGGGACCGGACACCCATGGCAAAACACCAATGCACATAAAATAAAAATAAATTAATAAATAAAAGATTGATTACCAAACTGGAGAGGTGGCTCAGCAGTTAAGAGTACTTGGTCCTCTTGCAGGGGACCGGAGTTTGGATCCCAGCACCCATATTGGGCACCTTAAAAGCACCTGTAATGCCGGGTGGTGGCGGCACATGCCTTTAATCCCAGCACTTGAGAGGCAGAGGCAGGCCAATCTCTGTGAGTTCAAGGCCATCTTGGTCTACAGAGCAAGTTACAGGACAGCCAAGGCTACACAGAGAAACCCTGTCTGGAAAAACAAAAACAAACAGAAAAAGCACCTGTAACTCCGGCACCAAGGGAATCTAACACCTCTGGCCTCTGCAGGCACCTGTACTCACGTGCACATACTGGCATGCATGCATACATGTAGTTAAAAATGGAATGAAGATTTAAAAAAGATTGATGACTGATTTGAGCAGCTCTAGAGTCACCTAGAAGACTAGCCCCCAAGCATACGGTGAGGGATTATCTGGATTAGGTTCCTCGACAGAGGAAGACCCACTGTGGTTGGCATTGTTCCTCTCCTCCAGCTGGAGTTTCTGGAGAGCTGAGCACCAGCCCCCCCACCCCACACACACACAGGAATGAAAAAAAGAAACCCAAACAAATCAGATACAAAAAGTGCCTTGAGGATAGTTGGTTGGAGTTAGGGAGTGTGCCCTGAGCATCAGGGTGGAGATGTAATGGGAAAGCGGGGTGGGGGTGGAGTGGGGAGGGGGTGGAGGGGTGGGGGAGGCCGAAGCAGAATTGCACTTTACTGGAGAAAAGAAGATAGTTTGGAGAGGTAAGAGATATAGCCTGGGGTGCTCAGGGCCTTTGTTCCTTATAGCTGTTATTGAAGGGGACACAAAGCTGTTCCTCTCAGGGTTTCATGGGTATGAGGTGAGTGAGCATGCATCCCTCTGAGGCTCACCATGGAGGAAACACTTAACCTTCATAGTACTCAGTTTAACATTCTAAGAATTCCTCTGTTGTGGCCTAGGGCTCAGGATGGGATGATAACTAACCCCGTTCACTGCTGCCAGTTTGCCTTTTAGTTCTGTTAGCTTTGAGCCAGGAAGGAGCAGTTAATTATATTTACTGTCCTCTGTTTACTCTTTAGCTTTGGGGCCATTTTAAAACCCCTACCATCACCTTTAGCCTTTTAATCAGTTACAAGCAGCCGGTGATCTTTATCACAAGCTGAAAGGTCCTGGCTGGTTTATCTTTAATCTAGCCATGGAAATCCAGCCTTGGACATGAATTACTGGCAGCTTGGAGATTTTCCATTACAGGGCTCAGCATAGGCCACCTCTTGAATTTCCTACTTCTTTATCCACCCTAACAGACCCAGTCGCGAAGGTTGGGTGGTGCTTCTGGGGCATATAAAGTCGGCATCTTGTCAAGGGAACGGTTATGTTTTCCATTTTCTTAGCTTGTCCTCAGGTGTCATGTATCTTTTTGCCTTTAGGCTTTGTTTCTCTAGGCTGTACAGTACTTTCTCTAGCGCAGAAGGGGTTGTTTCAAAAATGGTCCAACCCTCGCTTACTCCAAACACGGGCAGCACCTGACGTCTGCTTTCCTAAAGTTAGTTACGGACCACTGATCAATGCCATTTGTCTCAGAGAAGCTAACATTGACATTTATGCTTCAAATTGTGCCTTGAATGCAGTAGATACAGAGGGTTCTTTCATTCCGTTTCTTCACCATCAGCATCCTTGCAAAATTTAAGTCATAGAGAAACACTTAATTTGCAGACATACTCCGCACGTTCGAGCCCAGGCTCCGTCATTCTAGCTGTGTCACTTGATAAGGTGATGTGACCTCTGGTCCTCTGCAAAACGGGGACAGACCTCAAGATGAGGTCGTCCCAAAGTACAACTCTCAGTCCAGAAGACACAGGATCGTAGATCTCGTGAACCGAGGTTTACAAAAGACCGGCGTTGACCTGGAGGCGTCCCGGGGCGGAAGGGGTTACGATGATAGAGACGCCAGGAGGACCGGAGTGGCGGGAGCGTCCCCGCGGGCAGCTCACCGCGCAGGCGCGAGTGGGGAGGCTGGGTTGGGGGCCGCCCCGACACCCGGAAGTGTGCGCCTAACGGGTCGAGCCGGGCCTTCGGTCCTGGGAGGGGGCGGGGCCGGAGCCCCTCGGAGCGAGGCGCCATAGAGCCGGACGGAGGACCCGGGTCCTAGACGTATCCGGAAGTGGCGTCCTAAGGCGCCTCTCGGTAACCATAGAGCCGGAGGGGGGGGGGGTGGAGGCCAGGGGTCGCGGAGCTCGCCTGCCTAGAGCGGCGAGGAAGCGGTGGCGGCCCGGGCGGGGGAAGAGAGGGAGAGGCGCGAGCGGAAGCGGCCGGGAAGGTCACTTCCGGCCTGGGCGCCCGTCCCCCTGACCCCAGGGTCTGAGTCGCCGCTGCCGCCGCTGCCACCATCCGCGAGGCAGGCGAGAGGAGGGAGAGTGCAGCGCGGCGGCCCCGGGGCCGAGGAGGTGAGGGCGGCTTGGGGCTCAGCGGGGCGTGCGCCGAGGGGCCGGGGTGGGCGCGCGTCTGGAAGCCGGGCTTCGGACGGGGGTGGGTGGGGAGGCGGGAGGGCGAGCGCGGCGGAGCGGGCGAGTGCGCGTGCGCGTGGTGTGGTGGGGGGTGTGTGTGTGTGGGGGGGGGTGGGCGTGAGCGAGCGCGCGGCCGGGGCGCTCGCACGCGTGCGCGCGGGCGCGCGGGGGGCGACTGGCGCCGCGAGCCGGGGCGGTGCGCGTGCGCGACTCGGGAGGCCGTGCGGGCCGTCTGTCACCTCCGTCCGCTACGCGCCCGGGGCCCCCCCCCCCCCCCCCCGGTCCGTACTTGCCGCCGGCCATGGCCGGAAGTGCCGGGGACTTTGGGTCGAGGGGGAGTTGGAGTTGAGGGCTGATGGGGGGGAAGGGGCCCCGCCGCCTGGACCGGGCTGACCGGAAACGGCGGCCCAGGGACAGTCTAGGCCTCAGTCCTCCCATGTCCCCTCCTTCCCCATCTCCAGTCGCCCTGGTCCGTTGCTGCCCCGGGCGCCGGGCGCCGGTCTTTGATCCGGCGGGGTAATTACGGGCATGCAGGCGGCGGGAGGCCCATTCATCTGTTTCCCCCGCGCGTGCTGACGGGCGGCAGGAAACCGGTCCCGGGAGGGGAAGCGCCAGGCCAAGGTCAGCGCCGCGTGGGCCGTGCGGCCCAGCCTGGACAGTTGCCTTCCTCCCCCGGGGGGCGGGGGGGGGGACAGGGTCCCGCGCGGAGCCCCGCCCCCCCCCCAGCCCTCCCGCCTCCACCCCCCAGTCCGCACCAGAGCAGGTCACAGGGTGACCCTCAAATCCCAGGCGTTAGTGCCCCCAGCACCTGCAGAGGTCAGCGGGAAAAGTGATCCCCAGGCGCTGAAGGGAGTGTGGAGAGTGAACCGACGCCTGGCTTAGAGCCAGGCCGGGCTCCAGGATAGGAAGATGAACAAGAAGTCGGTGTGGAAAGCAGAAGCTGAGACCTGACCCACCGCAGTCCACGGGGATTGCTCAGGGCCTTATTAAAAAGGCAGTGACTTGGTTTTGTTTTGTTTTCTTTTTTTTTTTTTCTCTCTCTCTGTAGTTTCCGATTCAGGCTCTATGCTGGGCCTTGTTGAGGATCCAGTTGAGATCTGGCCTCAGCTCTGGTGCAGGGATAAGCCTCCTGGGTGAAGTGCAGCCAGCTTTCCCTGCCTGCCTCTCTGGAGTTACTGAGTGCTGTGCTGCCATGGCCCGGAGAACTCTTGACATCAGATTCTGACTTGGCTTATCTCATCCATTCTCCATCTAGACTGGGGATGGGATGGGAAGGGCATATCTTCTGGCTTGGACCATGGTGAAGTGACTGAGTGGCAGCCACGGGGAGGATTCCTCACTAAGAGCTCTGTAGCTGGGATCCTTCAGCTTCCTAAGTTCTGTGGCTGTAGATAAGAAGCACCACTCTGTTCCCATGAGGACACAGTGGAGGTGATAACAGCATTCTCTTCATTGCGAGGCTTGTCATACTTTCCTTTCAGGCAGAAGTTACTCAAAAGGTCTCTGAAGCCAGTGTTCCTGAGTCCCAGTCTTGGCTCTTTTACAGTTCTGTGACCTTGGATGTGTCACTTCCCCTTTCCCAGGCTGTTTCCTCCCCAGTCTCCTGAAGTGGAGAACATTGTCACAGTTCCCTGAATAAGCCTAGTCTATCACGACTAATCCCAACACATTGAATTGCTCTGGTGGGGACACCCCATAGGTTGGAGAAAAATTCCCAAGGTTTCCATGGGCCAGGCCTGCTGGTGGGTGACACTGGTCAACCTGACAGGGATCTTGTAGTCCCTTTTTGGAATTGTTCAGGCCAAGGGGGAGATACACCAGAGTGGCCGTGGGAGTTCTGGGGGCCTACATGGAAAGGATGCCGTGATCTCAGTGCAGGGGCAGTGGCATTAGCATTGGTGGGTCTTGGACAAGGGGTCCCTGGGACTTATGGGAGATGGCAGGATGCATAGCTCAAGGCCATCAACAACTATGTAGTCACTGATGGGCACCCATAGCTCTTGGGGGTGGGGTGCCCAGATACACTTCACAGGCTTTCCACATCCATATTGGCATCCTCTGACTAACTAGGGCTGCACCCGGTTTTGGGCCTCCATATTGAGGAGAGACTGCAGATTGGATGACGTACTCTGAGAGCTTGGCAGGCACCTGGTACTAAGTTCTTTGAGGCCCTGGGACAGAGGTGGTCACCTTGGTTTTGGCAAGATAGGACAGATGCTTGCGCTGGTATTCATGAGGCCTAGGCCCTAAAGTAGCTTCAGAATATAGTCTGTGGGAGCCCAGAACTGGCCTCTGATTGTAGTGCCATCCCTTCCATTGGAACAGTTCTTTTGGGCAAGGCTGGATCTGGGATCACAGGCCTATTCTTAGGTGCTAGCCATTGGGTTGGGGTTCCTGGTTCCCCATTCTGTGGGTAAACTGTCAGGAAGACTCCTGCATACAGTGCTGCTGGCTGGAAGACTCTTGAGACCTAGTCTCTTCTTATAGGGGACCTACAGCATAGTTGGATGAGCAGAGGTGACTTCTGCTGGTGGCTGGGATGGGTGATGAGACTTGAGATTTATGTCAACTGTGGTGGAGGCCTCACTAGCCAGCAGAGTGGGTAGGAAGCTGAGCTGTCATGGTCCTTGTACCAGTGGCCCTGAGGTGGAGTGTAGAGAGCTGTAGAATTATCCAGGTTGCTGGTGCCTCTGCTTTTCCTCTTCTGCCTTGGCCTCTTGGCCTCTCCTTTTGTGCTCCCAGAACAGTGGCTTCTCTGCTGTGCCCAATGGGGAGTTCTGTCTAGCTCTGTACAGGAGTGCCTGCCCTGAAGTGGATAATGCTGGGGACTAGACATCAGATAAAATCTCAGCCTCAGGGTCAGGCTGCTCAAAGTATTGCTTTGGGGCTCTGTGCAGGGTCAGTTGGTCAGGGCTGAATATAGTTCCTGTCCTCCTTTTGAGGACTCAGTCTGCTGGACATTCCCTGTGAGGTTTGGGGGTGGGAAACCCAAAGGAGGAACTTTAGGGTTAAGATAGGAATCTCTCCCAGAGGACGGAGGACTCAGCCACAGGATCAAACATTAATTGGGAGCAGTGCCAGTGTCCTGAGAGGAAGTCTGGCCGACCCAGATTTGACCTGGAGTTTCGCTCTGTGGCTGTATAACATTGTATTAGCCACACAGTTGTCTAGATTGTGGCCTTCTCATCTCTGAAACAGGTACAACGGTTATGCTGTGCAATAAATGCTTCCTTGCCTTGTCTGTTGGCATAAAGTGCCTACAGGTTTCTTGTTCAAACCTGGGCATGTGTCATGATTTACTACTGGCACAGGGTGAGATGAGGCACCTTGCCTCAGTCACATGGTTGGTCAGCGGTGGGGTAGGTTCTGACCGTGGCAGCTTGCCTGTAGAGATTTTCCTCTGGCCTCTCCCTGGCAGTTCAGGGGATCAGGATCCAAGCTTATGCGCTTACAGCACCATGTACCGCAGGGCTTGGGGTTTAATCTGCACTTGGTGAATGTGATCTGTTACTGTTGGCTAAGGAGGACAGTTGCAGCAGACAGAAAGGAGCAGTTGCGAAGGCTTCCCAGGGGAGGAACTGTTGATGCTGGGCCTTGGCACTTGGGCATGCTACCTCAGCAGATCTAGAAAGGCGTAAGGCCAGGTGGTATCTGCACACCTAGAAAACAGCCCGGCCCAGAGTGTGGGTCTGAGGTGGCTCATGAGTTTTTTGTCTGTCTGTAATGCAAGATGTAGTTTTTAGAGAGTTTTAGGTTCACAGAAAAGTTGAGCAAGAGGCACAGTTCCGTTATGCCCCTCCCACCAATCCCAGGTTCCCCACTGTTGGTATCCCACTCCACCCCCATCCTGGGTTAGCTTGCTGTTATCGATAAACCTGTGCAGACCTTGTGATCCATCGCCCAGCATGCACAGTGGATTCCTGAAGAGGGTTTGCTTTTGGCAGTTTGCATTTACATGCCAGTGGTTAAGAGTCAGGTGCTCAGGAGTGACCCTGAAGATCTGCAGATACACTGAGGCTGTGGGCTAATGCTGCAGATCCATGGCTGACATGGCTGTGCTTGGCCAGGGAGGAGCAGGGTGCCCCTCAGGGATTGCTCCAGCTGAGTGCGAGGTGTGTCACAGGTTTACAGTGGACTAAGAACCTAGACAGCTCTCCTGAGGTAGGTGAGGCCAAGGTCTGTCTCTATTCTGACCATATTGATCATCAGGTTGACAGTGTCCATGCTCTCCTGAAGAGAGTAGAGCCCACAGGAAGTGGATGTACTAGACCAGTTAGGAGGCAAAGGCATCTCATCAGCTAAAACACTGGAGGGGAGACCGTGAGGCCCAGGAAGTTCTGCCTGGCTCCATGCCTTGTTTAAATATACCCTCAGATCCGGATGAGGTGCAGACGATGTTCTCAGATTGTGACTACCAAAACTGACTGGATGAGATGGAGTAGTCCCCAACGGCTCACCCCTGAAGGACAAGTGTAAGAGCCCAGTGGCGGCAAACAGTGGGATTCATCCCTTGGATGCTTAGGCCTCGTCCTAGGGCTGAGGAGATGAGGGCTTAGCTTTGGTCTGGTGTTGGATGCAGGGCTTGGTTAGAGAGGAAGCTGAAGAACCTGGAGTGAGGGGACAGGCACAGACAAGGGAGGCCGGAAGGGATCTGCTAGGGAAAGCAGAGAGGTTGCTGTATGGAGCACTCTAGTGAAGGACAGACAGCAGGGCATTGGGCTGATGGCCATCTGCAGCATATTCTGGAATGATGGGTACCTGGCACACTTAGTGACTGCCCTCGGGGAGCGCAGAAGGAAATAGAGAGAAAATCAGAGATAATGACAAAGCTGGCATGTGATGCAAGGCGGGGCCTGGGCACAGGAGGAGGAGGAGACACTTGAGTCAGCCCTTGGGAGGGGAGGAGGAGTAGGCAGCTGGAAGATCTGGGCCAGGGTTCTCCAGATGGCCCCAGTGCGGGTAGACAGTGAGATGGGGGCTCTGGAAGAAGTGGGAGTTTGCAGGGCCTAGGCCAGACCAGGGTCCTGGGGGTCTGGGGCGAAAGTCGGTTTTGTGGCTAGTGCAGTGGGTCTGTGATGGGGCTGTTTTAGGCAGGGTAATGTTTCTTGCCCGTGGCAGTTTTCCTAAATTAGGGGATCCTTTCCATAAGGTACAATTTGCCCACTGAAAGCATACCGTTTGCTGGCTTTCAGCATGGTCACTGCTTTGTGTGTGCATCACCACAAGAGATTTTGGAAAATTTCCTTGTTACAAAAAGAGGCTAACTCCTCGTGGTGACCCTCCACTATAAAGTTATTTTCATTGCTACTTCATAACTGTAATTTTGCTGCTGTTGTGCATAGTAAATATCTGATATGCAGCCCAGTGAAAGGGTCACTCGTCCCCCACAGGGTCACAGCGCACAAGTTGAGAACTGCTGTTCTATGGGTTTGCTTATTTTAAGTGTCTTATGTGGAGTTGAGCAGAATGTGCTTTCCAGAATTTGACTTGCTTTACAAGCAGAAAGCCTTCGAGGTTCAACTTTGTGTGTGTGTGTGTGTGTCAGTGCCTCACTTCTGCTGTGGCTGAGTGCCATGCTTCTCCTGATGGCATTTTGTATTGCCTCTTTTTGTTTTTTGTTTTTTCGAAACAGGATTTCTCTGTGTAGCCCTGGCTGTCTTGGAACTAGCTCTGTAGACCAGGCTGGCCTTGAACTCATAGAGATAGAGGGGTCTGCCTCCCTCTGCTTCTGAGTGCTGGGATTAAAGGTGTGCGCCACCACTGCCTGGCTGTATTGGCTTTTTGGCTTTTGTGATTATATTCCCTGAGCATTCACATCTAGATTTTCATGTGGCAGGAATTTTTCCCATGCGCTGCTCTAGGGTGTAGACTGTAGTGGAATTGCTGGGTGGATGGAGATTATTTGCCTGACCTTGAAGGACTGCCAGGTGTTTTCTGAAGCAGGTGCACCGCCTTGCCCTCTCACCAGCACTTTCATGACAGTGACCTGCAGTGTGAAGTGGAGCCTCTTTGTGGCTGTGCTTGAATTTCCCCAGGGCAAGCTTCGTTTCATGTGCCCACTGGCCATCTGGATATCCTCTTTGGAGAAAGGTATTCGGACCCTTTCCCTAGGGCGGGGGTTTGTGTATTGCCTCTGTGTGTACACATGTGTTCAGATGCTTATGAGTGTGAGCACACATAGAGGTTGACCTCAGTCACTTCTCTGTCTTAGTTTTATTTATTATTTTTGGTGTTTTTCAAGACATTGTTTCTCTGTGTAGCCTTGGCTGTCCTGGAACTCGTTCTGTAGACCAGGCTGGCCTCAAACTTACAGAGATCCTCCTGCCTCTGCCTCCCAAATGCTGGGATCAAAGGTGTGCGTCACCACTGCTTATTTTTAAAGATTTATTTATTTAACATGTATGTAGCTGTTTATATGTGCCATGTACATGCAAGTACTTGAGGCCAGAAGAGCATTGGGTCCTCTGAAACTGGAGCTCGGCAGTTGTGGACAGCCATGTGGGTGCTGAGAACCTAACCCGTGTCCCCTGTAAGAGTAGTCGGGCTCTCCCCCCCGCGCATCTCTCCAGCCTCTCTACTTGGTTTTTGGAGATGGGGTCACACTGAGCCTAGAGCTCACCCTTTGGGGTAGATGAGTTAGTCGGCCTTGCAAGTCCCTCTCCCCAAATTGGCCTGGCTCAGCTTCCCGGCGCTGGGGTTACAGGTGTGGACTGCCACACCTAGTATTTTATGTGGATGCTGGGGATGTATACTCGGTCCTCACACTTGTGCAGCCACTGAGCCGTGTGTCTCAGCTTGCTTGCCCAGTTTTTATTTAGGTTATTTGACCTGAGTGACTTTTTACAAAGGATTCATTGCTCGTGGAGTGGAGAGGGGTCTTGAGAGGCACAGGCTGCATCTAGAACTGGGGTGCCAGTGAGGGGAGGTACCCAGAAGCAGGCCCGGGGGTGGGGGGGTGGGGGGAGTAGAGGGAAAGAACAGAGGAGGCAATGACTTGGTTGGGGCCTTTGAGAAAGGGGGAGATGATGGTTGGTATCCTTGCTGTTGACCCAGGGATTTGGGGGGTGAGGGTGTTTGAGACCCAGAAGTAGATGGGGGCACTTGGTGACAGAAAAGTCAGTGTGTTTGCTGATGAAAACGGAAGGTAACACAGGTGGTGACTGGCAGGTAAGGAAGGAGGTGCGCTGGGATGTCACCACTCCTGCCTGCTGGTGGGAGGAGAGGAGCAAGGAACACCGGGCTGGAAGAGGGAAGGGAACACGTGAGTGAGAGAGAGGATGAGGGGCAGGAGGGGCTGCTTCTGCACCCAGCCCCAGCGGGCGGGGGAAGAGGAGGCCAGATTGGCAGCAGAAGAAAGCAAGGGGATAATTGGTGGGCAGGCATCCAGAGGGGGTGGGTGAGACCTAATAACAACAATAATAACAATAATTTGTCTGGGCTTAATAACCCTGTCAGATCCATGTGCTAATTGGATTGCTTAAGGGCTCTGCTGGGAGGGGTGGGGACTGGGGGGGTTGGTGCCCTTTCTTCTACTTCTGCAAGGTGGAGGTCAGAGCAGGGTGAGCATCTGTGAGAGGCTGGAGGTGCTGGCTGGAGGTGCTGGCTGAGAGAGAAGGAGGAAAGGCAAGGATGGACTGCACCTCTAGGGTTCCTGGTCAGAAGCATCAGGTTGCTTGGGCTGTTCTTTGTTTCTTCGGAGGTGCTGGAGCCTGAACCTAGAGGATCAAACCTAGGGCGTCCATCACATGCCAGGCATAAGCTTTGCCACCGAACACTCTTGCACACCTTGGAGTTTTCTTGTCTTCAGGTTGGGCTCTTCTCTAGGGAGCTAGGTTTGTGGCTCCTGAGGTTCGCCTGGTTCCTCTGTGCCTCCCCTGCAGACGCAACATCCTACTCCCCAGGCTGTGAGATCTCAGGTGGGCCCTGCGCCTCCAGAGCTAGAACTAGAGGGCCAGTAGCTATCTGTCTTCATGAATGGGTGAATCAGTGGATGGGACAGAAAGAGGACTGGATGCCCTTCTTAAAGCCTTTGCGAGGTCCCTGATTTCATCCCCACAAGCTTGGTGCCACTGGCGGCTTCTCACAGCCCTGTGAAATACCTGTCCTGCAAGGACACACACAGCTGAGCCCTAAGAGCCCTACGAGCTCAGGGTCACAGCATGCAGCTGTGGGAACACTGAGGTGGAGCTTCCGGGCGGGCTGGGATTTGCCAGTGAGGAGGAGAGGCATGTGCCCCTGTCTAGAGTACCGGGTCTGCTTTCAACTTGTTCGCTTACGTCTGTCAGGGGTTTCAGCCCCTGTAGAGCACTACATGCCGCCCTAGGAGCCCCCTAGACAGCCCTAGGTACCCCTGCTACCTAGAGGAGGCAGGATGGAAGAAGGGCGGGCGGGCACCTTTGAGGCTTGCTGAAGATCTGCCCCTACCCCACAGATAAACCCAGGCTGCTGTGTGTGTGGCCTGCTGCACCCCTCTGGCTTCCCAGCTTGCCAGCAGGGGCCTGGGGCAAGACAAAAAGGCCATGTGACAAGGCAGGAGGAGCAGAATGCCTTTCCCTTCTTCCTTCTGAAGTGTAAACCTCTGAGGACCTTTGTGTGAGTGTGGGGGCCAGGGGTGGATTGACGGCAAGTCTTTCCCAGTCGTCGTTGTCTTAGTTTTGAAAACTGGCTTTGACTGAACCTGGAGCTCACCGTTTTGCTAGACTGCCTGGCCAGCAAGCCTCAGGAATCCTCGTGTCTGCTTCTCCAGCACTGGGGCCCAGGTGCACTGCCATGGGTGCTGGGGATTGAACTCCAGTCTTTATGCCATGTGGCAGGCCTCTGCGGACTGAGCTGTCCATCTCCTCAACGCCTTCCAGGGCATTCATTTTATGTGTTAGTTCACCCGTGGCGTAGGAGCCAACCCTTCCTCTACCCTGGGCCCACCAGTGCTGTGGACTTGTGTGCGCCCTTGGTTCAGGGGAACTTACTCAACACTTGGCTTCACAGACAAAAATCAACACAGCAGCACATGGCCTGGAGCATAAGCTAGGCCGCCTCCTGCTGGCTCTGCTCCCAACCCATGACTCTCCTCATGGCTCTCACAGTCCTTGGCTTTGAAAGCTGTCCTTATTTTTGTATCTCTTGCTCTTTAACATTAGGAGTCAACCAGACTTTTCCTTGTATTTGGCCAGATATAAAATATTTTAGGCTTTATGGATCATAGTGCAAACCAAAACTGTCATTCTTAATAGGTGACTAGGAATATATAAAATGGGACCATTTGAGGGGAGACACCATGGTGTCATTGTTAGTAGGAGTTTGGCTAGTCTGGCAAACCTTTTTCAGCCAGCGCAGGTTAGGCCCTGCATCGTTGCCTCTCACCCTGCCAGCTCTTTGGGCTTTAGCCCCCTTGAGGGTTGCCTCACTGCCTGGGCAGAATAGTAAGGCTGCCTGGCTTTCAGGAAGTAGAGGCTGTCCTCCTCTGACCACTGAAGGCATTTTGCAGGGGTGAGGTGAGTAGAAAGCTCAGCCCATAGCCTGGCCCTCCTCCCTGCAGGAAGTTGGCTGGAGCTGGGAATTCCCGACTGCTTGTCACACTTGGCAGCAGCCTTTCTTAGGACAACCCTCTCTGTCCACCTCTTTGACCCTGCAGTGCCTGGAGCTCCTCTGTTTTCTTTCTCTTAGGTACTTGTAATGTTGACGGTTTCATAATCATCAGGCATGTATACTTTTTAAAAGTGGACTTTCTATTAAAGGTATTTGTGTGCTGAAAATACGCTGTTTTAAAGCACATCATTGGGTGAGTTAATGTATTCAGAGTCACATAGCAGTCACCGCTGTCTAGTCCTGAATGTTCTCATTCCTTGTCAGGAAGCCCATACCTATTTTTCAGTTACTTCCACTCCTGTCCCTGTCACTAGGCTGCTGCTGCCTGTGTCACCCCCCCTCCCCCGCCCCCAAGACAGGGTCTCTCTGTGTAGCCCTGGCTGTTCTAGAACTTGCTCTGTAGACCAGGCTGGCCTTGAACTCATAGTCACCTGCCTCTGCCTCCAGAGTGCTGGGATTAAAGGCATGCACCACTTCCCGGTCCTAGTCTACTTCTTGTCTGTGGACTTATCTAGAGAGTCCATACCCATGGAGTCCTATGCCATGTGGCCGTGCACTTAGTGAGCTTGGAAGTTCATGCATGCAGAATCTTAGACTATGTGGCTGTGGACTTAGTGACCTTGGTAGTTCATACATGCAGAATCTTACACCATGTGGCCCTGGGCTTAGTGACCTTGAGTAGTTCATGCACACAGAATCTTACACCATGTGGCCGTGGGCTTAGTGACCTTGAGTAGTTCATGCACACAGAATCTTACATCATGTGGCCCTGGGCTTATTTGACCCTGAGTTTAGTGATCTTGGGCAGTTCACACATTCACCTATTTCTGGTGCCCTGGGCTTTGTGACCTTGGGTAGCTCATGCTCCTGGAGCCATACACCTTGTGACTCTGGGCTTAGTGACCTTGGCAGTTCATGTACAGTGAGTCATATACTGTGGTGCCCTTGGTGTAGTGACCTTTGGCATTTCATGCAACCATGTGGCCCTGGGCTTACTAGGCCTCTGACCTTGGGATAATAGGTCTGTGCACACGGGATAATAGGCTTAGGTCTGTTCCTTTCCCTAGTGTTGGCTTTCTGCCTCTTAGCTGTCCCACACAGCACTGCGTGCCTGGTCACTCATGCTGTTGTGCAGGTGTGTGTTTTCTTCTCCTGGGTGTGTGCCAAGAGTGCAACTATAGGGTTACTTGGTAACCCCTTACCATTTGAGAAATGGGCTGTCTTCCAAAGCGACAGTTCGCCTGATGCTTTCCTGGTGTACTTGTAAGTTCTCTTGGAGTTGTTTGCTTGCTTGTTTCACTTTGGGACAAGAGCTGGTGTAACCAGGCTGGCCTTGGATGCATTGTGTAGCTAAAGCTGGCTTGGAACGTTGGATCCTCCTGCCTACCTCTCTCAGGTGCTGCTATTAACACATGTGCACCACCATACCTAGCTTCCTTTGGCGTTTTGGTGCCATGACGTGCCATCTGGGAGCCCTGCAGCCTTGTGTCTTGTGTAGGAGAGATGGAACTTTCACTCTCTCAGAGTTTCCCGCTATGTCCAAAAAATAAGCTGCCGCAAAGCAGATCACCCAGAAGAAAATTCAGGTGCCTTCTTGTGTGGGCATCATGTGAAAGCAAGGCCCTTGGGGCTTCTGTGCTGGTGACTGGAGTTGTGCTGTGGAATGTGGATGGGGAGGCTTGTTTATTCAGAAGTCCCTTGGCCTTGGCTCCTGTCCTTGATATGGTAGTTTCCTCCTCTGGAACACAGATGGCGTGTCTCAAGAGAAAGAAAAGGGAGTCACTGCTGTCCCCACAGACCTTGGACTGCAGTCCTCCCCTGCCTGGTGCTGTTCTGATGGGTTTCTGCCCTCCTCACACCTGCCTGTTCTGTTCTAGTCCTGAAGGTTGTCAGCTGGGGGAAAAGAAGAGAACAGAAGACATTTGGACTCCCTTTTGTGAGCAGGAGGATCTATTGGTGTCATAGGCCTGTGACCCATGACTGCCTTCCCGACCCCCACTCCCACACATGCACACGCTCGCTGTGGAGTAGACGCCTGTGGTTTGCTGACATTCTGTCCCATCCACAGGCTGATGGGGCCTTCCAGGTTTCCCAGTTTAAACCTTGCTGTTCTTTTGAGAAGCATCTTCAGAGTTTTGGATTTTTCTCTCCCAGTCATCACCTGGGATTCCTATAAGCATTTGCACCCAGCTCTTGGGCCACATGGCCGCCTTGTGCACATTCATGGGACTATTTAGACCTGGCTCCAGCAACTGGGGCCCACTTGGGTCTTTTTGTCTGTGTGTGGTTCTCCCTCCTGAGCCAGGTCCGGGGCAGGACCAAGTGCTGGAATTCATTGAGTTTTGTCTTTTAAGCCTTTCCTTGGCCCAGTTTCATTCAGCTCTGTGTTCATATCATTGTTCTGGGGCACTTGGGCTACCTGGTGCCGCTGTGCGTGCCGGGGTTCCTCTGGGTAGTGCTGACTTAGGAGTGGATGTGGGAGGGCAGACTAACTTGGTGTAACATGAAGGAGCACTAGGGGTGAGGAGGAGAGAAGGCCGGGTCAGGGTAGACGGTGGCTAGACAGGGCTTCCGAGGTGACACTCACTTCAAACAGTCCGGCAGGGATAGTGGTCTTCACTTGCTCACAGGCTCTCAGGAGCCAGGAGGAACACAGCTGAAGGGTCCCAGGTGGCTGTGCCGGTAGGGGACCTTTCCTGAGGCCTGGTCCTGGCCTAGAAGACCCACATGTTAGTGTTGTCTTATGGAGCAGGCTTGTCCAGACCTGCCTGCAGTTGATACATTTAGGTAGCCAGTCAGCCCAGAATGTTTGATATGGGAAGTCAGGCTTTCTGCCTTTGAAATTTCTTTTTGTTGCTCTTACTCGATGTACAAGTTGACAGTTTCCTGTCACTGCGCTCTCCTCCCAGTTGTACCTGAGCGTCACTACCACACTCTGGAGGTATAACGGCCTCTTCTACCAAGTGTCAAATCTGCATGGTTGCGTAACCCCATGCCCCTCTGTTCTCCATCTTGCCCGTGAGGAAACTGAGTCACGGCGATGGAGTTGCTCTGCTACATTCCAGTTGGGTGGATCTGGGGAGGGAGGGGTCTGGGAACATGGCTGCAGCCCATGCAGCCAGTGGGGGCTGAACAGTCTGATCTCCTGAGTCCGGGGCGCCGCAGCCCTAGCCACCGCCACCGTCTCAGTGCAGGCTCCTGTGGCTGGGTGGCTGTGCCTGCATCAGAGAGTGCTCTGTCCTCACACCACCTGTAAGCTCTGTCTTCTGCGTTATCCCTTCCTACAGGGACCCAGACATGGAGCTGCGGGAAGAAGCTTGGTCTCCGGGGCCGCTGGATTCTGAGGACCAGCAGATGGCCAGCCATGAGAACCCAGGTGAGGTGGCCTCGGTGGTTCCTCAGCCAACCCCACTGCCTTTTCCACCAGGCTGGGGAACCATCCTTTGTCACTCTGGGGTGCCTGGACTCCTGCCCCTTTCCCTCTAAGAGCCCCACAGCCACAGCTTGGAATGAGAGGCTGATGCTCTGGTCCCCAAGGGTCCTTTTAACAGGACCATCCAGATCTTTTGCCTCATGTCTCCAGCTGGCTATTGTTGAGCACCGTTTTTGTGCCCTATGCCCTGTTCTGGTTCCAGGAACACTGACTGCTTCATGGGTGCTCCTCACATCAGGGTGGCCCCCAAACCCAAGGTCTGGAAGTTGTAATGAATGAGTGAAGGACTAGGAAGGGGAATCTGTAGTCATGTGGTAAGATTTGGGAAGGGTGGGCTGGATTAAATATGAAACCATTCATTTTTTAAGTGTTGGCACATGTGTTCTGTTTGTTTAATAAAGTATTATTGGGTGGAGCAAAACTCCTGTGGGTTACGTGGTGCCCAGGTTTGGCGGTAAACCCATGCTAGCCCACCGCCACCCTCATCCCGCTCCCTGGTGATCCCAGCGTGGTAACAAGAAGGCACAGCGCACACTGTGTCTGCTGCCTGGGGCAGATGGCGCTGGCTTCCTCCCTTTTAATAAATCGGTGCTTCCAACACATTGCTTCGGTGTTCCTTAGACGTTGCTGCATGGCCCCGGGTTGCTTGTCTTGTCACTCCCCCCTGTACACAGCCATGTACCCAGTGTGTGGGGTTACAGTACAAGTGTGGCACGACCCTGAGCACCTGAAGACCGTGCAGACTGTCGTAGCTTCCCTTCGGTTACTGTGAAAAGAACTCAACATGAAAACTTAGGGGAGAAAGGGCTCATTTGAACTTCTAATTCCAGGTTACAGTCCATCATGCCGTGAAGTCACGGGCAGGAGCTTGAAACAGCTAGTCACAGCACATCCAGTCAACAGCAGAGAGAAATAAACGCGTGTTTGCTTGCTTGGGCCCAGTTTGGTTTCTTTCCACCCATAGCAGTCTAAGAGTCCCTGACCAGTGGCGCCCTCACAGTGGGCTGGCTCTCCCTCAGCAGTTAACTGGTGACAGCTCCTACAGACGTGCCCACAGGACAACCCCGCGTAGACAGCCCTTTCCTCAGACTCTTCCAGGTTATTCCGGGTTGTGTCAAGTTGACAGTTAAAGCTGGCCAGCACTCTGACGTTGCTTTCCCTGGGCTCTGCCTTGTTTAAGTGCTGGCCTGTTTATCACACACTTGGCTAGCCTCTAAAGGTGGTCCTCAGTTGGTGGTCCTCAGCAGAACCCTGGCTCTGGACAGCGGAAGCTATGCTGCCTCATTCTGCTGAGTGGTTGCTGAGAGAGCAGGAGGCATTCCAGAGAATCAGATGGCAGGGTTTTAGATTTTATTTTATGTTTTGACTCTTGCATATTTCTGGGAAGCCTGTTCAACCGAGAGAGGCTAATGCTGTTACTGAGAATGGCACTTTCGGTGTGTCTTGACATCATTGCCAGCCTCCATGTGGGTCATCTCTCTGAGAGCGCACAGAGCCTCGGAGGTCAGGCTGCCTGTTGGTGGGTTGCAGGGGATGGAATTGGGACGGAAGCTGAGCACCTTGCCTAGGGATGGGCTGCAGAGGTGAGCCGGGGCTCCCTGGGGCTGAAGCAGTTTCACAGTCAGTCTCCCAGGCTCCTTTTCTCCCCATTATTCCAGCTGCCATGTGAGATGGGCAGTGGCCATGGTCAGAGAGATCCTTCCAGACTGTCTTGGTCCTTAGCTCAGCAACAGGCTATCCAGAAAGAAAAGTAGAGTAGTCCCAAAAGAAAGGGCTTTCAGCTGGTGTCGTGGTAGTCTCCCACTGGGTGATGAGGCTCTGTCCTCCTGTGGAACATCGCACTCACCCGCCATGCAGCTCGGTCAGCGGGAGAGCTCACTTCAAAACCATAGAATCTTCCCAAGTCCCTGTGTAGGAATACAGCAACGCATAACCAACCCCCTGGCCCTTAGACCACACTGACAAATACCAGGCCTTGAGCATGGCTGCTAGCTCTAGCAGACCTTATGGGCTAAGCCACCTCAGCCTGGGTGTGTAGAGGTGGCTTAGGGGAAGGAAGTGGAGGAGATGGCCTTCAAGGGTTCATTGGGAAGTTCGGGGGCAGGGACACACTTGGGGATCCAAAGCTATAAAGTAGGTGTTTTTTGCAGAACTGTGTGGGACATGAGAGGCCAGGGAGGCCAGTGAGAAGAAACCTGGGTTCTTGAACCATCTAGGTACAGCCCTGCAGGGCACGGCCTAGGGAGCGAATTGTGAGCAGGGAGGGAGGCAGGAGAGACTGTTCTGATGGAAATAGGGTGGCAAGTGGCATTTGTGTGACCACGGTATGCAAACAGTGAGAATTCCATCCTGGTGCCTCACAGGCCAGGACGCCTGCCTGTCAAAGGAACTGTGGCCGCTGCCCTAGAAGGTGTTCTGTGAAAAAGGAAACAGGTGACTGGGAGTGCCTCCTAGAAGTCCAGATTGCTTAAGTGTGTTGAGAGAGGACCCGGCCCACAGAAAAACGATGTGATTCTAGAACGCTTCAATGGGGCAAGCTCAGCAGAGATGAGGAGTAAAAGCCAAACCCAGAGTGGAAAGACTAGAAGGAACTCGAGTGAGTAAGCACATTGTCCCAAAACATTAAAGGTGAGGAGGGGCCAGAGAGACGACTTCCTTCCAGAGGGACCGCTTCCACCTGTGACTCCAGCTCCAGAGTCTGATAATGGACTCTGCGCACCTGCACCCCCATACGGCCGCCTCACTAGTACATATATTTAAAAATTCTAAAAAGCTGAAAACAGGATAATTGTAAGATGAAGATGAGTTATTTACTTTTGAATTTTCGAGACAAGGTTTCTCTGTAGTGCTGGCTGTCTTGGAACTCTGTAGACCAGGATGGCCTCAAACAGATCTGTCTGCTTCTGCCTCCCGAGCACTGGGGTTAAAGGCATGCACCACCATCTCTCAGCAAAAATGAAATTTTTAGAAGATTAAAATGGATTAAAGAATATTGAAGTTAGGCAGAGAAAGTGTGATATACATTTAGACCGAAACCCTGATGTATGCAAAGCAAAGGAATAGACTATATGGCAAAACTATTCGTGGGCTACATGGCTCAGTGGTTAAGAGCGCTTGCTGCTCCTGTTGAGGACCCAGGTTATGCTCCCAGCACCCATGTCTGGCAGCTCACAATGCCTGTAATTCCAACCTTGGGATCCAGTGCCGCCTTCTGGCCTCTCCATTACCTAGACACTTGTGGCATGCATTTACACAGACACACGCACACACAGATACAGATCCATCCTGAAAACTAATTCAAGAGAAAAGCCCTGAAATTGAGCTCTGTTGAGAGAACAAGTCACAAACATTGAGAGCAGCTATAAAGAGCTGAGGGCCAGGATGTGGCTCAGTGATAGTGCACTTGTTTCACATGCCTAGGGGTGTTCGATCTCACCTGTTGAAAAATCAAAATCCAACTTCCTGGCAGAAGGAATGAGTAGCTTATAAGGAAAAGTAAAGGCAACGGGTAGACGTCAACATTTTAGCCCAAGAAAAGCATCACTGTGACAGTCCTCAGGGTGAGAAGGGTGAGCCAAGGATTTGAAGGGTACCAACAAAGAACAAGAGCCCAGTTAAGCCCCTCATCTGTGTGCCTTTCCCGGAAATGTAATGGTGATTGAGCTTTGGACAACCCCAGTGACCAGAGAGAGGCAGACAAAAGGTGGCAGTGAGCAGGGCTGGCTTCAAGCACAGGACCAGACACCTGCCTATGGGGACGCTGTGAAAATGGAAAGGGACTCGTTAGGGCATTTAGTGTGCCTGTGCCCAGAAGGCAGCATGCGTCCAACCAGTAAGTGATTCCTGTTGTGATTCCATCGTCACCCACAGTGATGATGGGAGCTGTGTCACGTGGGAGGTACTAAATAGTTTCAATAAAAACTTTCAGTTGCTGAGAGTACATATGGCAATTGCCACTGTGGATTCACGAGTTTTTATTTGAAAACAAAACCCAGAACAGGCACTAACTGATTTTGCTCCCGAGTACTGCTTTTGGAAAGCTGTCGGTGGTGGGTCTGGGGTAAGCGGCATACAAAACAAACGGGATACTGCTGAGGGCACTGGACCCAGGGAGGACGGCGAGCATGGAGGAGGCTCACACCGGAGATGGGCGGTTTTAGCCTGGTGAATTTAAACCAGCGTTGGTTTATGCTGTGGTACTGGGATCCAACCTAGAGTCTTGGACAGTCTAGATCAGGGCCCTGCCACAGAGCTGCATTGCCAGCCCTCTTTCTGCTTCTTACTTTGAAACAAGATCTTGCTAAGTTGCCCAGATGGGCCTTGAACTCATAGCCCAGGCAGGCCATAGCCTCTCAGGGAGCTGACACTGCAGACCTGTACCACCAGGACAGGGAAGGGAGAGACTCATTTGGTCACTTTGGTGAATACTAGAGAACCAACCTACGCTTGAAAACGGGGCAGATGTCCTGCCTACAACCTCCTGAAGTGAACAAGTACCAAGAGCTTGACTCTGATGTGGGGTCTTGAGACCATTACAGCTGCTGTCCCACAAACAGAATAGCTGCCGCTTCCTTGTGCAGTTGGTCCATGATCTGAGCATTGTCCCAACGCAATACACGAAGCCTTTCTTCTGGGAGAGGACAAGACAGCATCGCAAGACTCTTTGGCGAGGCTGGGCTGCTGTCAGCCCACGAGTCCAGAGGTGGCATGAGTATACTGTAGCCAGCAGAGCCATATGGCCCTGCTTTCTAGTAGTTTCAAATGTTATGTGTATGAGAGTTGTGCCCACATGCATGTCTGTATACCACATGCTTGCCTGGTGCCTGTGGAGGTCAAGAGGGTGTCAGAGCCCCTGGAACTGGAGTGTCAGATGGTTTTGAGGCACCATGTGGGTGCTGGGGATCGAACCTGAGTTCTCTGCAAGGACAACAAGTGCCCTTAACAGCTGAGCCAGTCCTGTTTTTCCTGAGACAGTGCAACTGGGAGCAGCTGAGTCTTCAGTCCCCCTGCTCAGTGTCCACAGCCCCACTTCCAGATGCCACTGCCCTTCAGAACCGACGGTCCCGGTTGAGCCCAGGCATCTGCTAAAAATGGAACTCCACCTTCTGATCACTTCACAGTTTGCTTATTTACAGAACAGGCACACTTAACTGAATAACCAGACAACTTAGAAAAAGTCAGAGCCTAAGGAAAGAACATGCCTGAATTCTCCTTGCCCCTTACTGCCTTAGCCATTGATGGCCCTGAGGGGCAGTGGATGTATCTTCCACCCCCTGCAGGTCTCTGTCCTGAGCTCCCACACTTGTTGCTGTAATCAACATTCAGACTTCATGTCATGACTGCAAATACTGTTCAAAGATGCACATACACACAGTACACTGGCACTCAGACTCTTTAAACTTGGTGTTTTAAATTGTATTTTGTGTGTGCATGGGAGGGTGTTGGCACAAGCATGCCGCCATGCACATGTGGAGGCCAAGGAAAACCTGAGGGAGGTGCTGTTCTCCTTCCATAATGTGGGTATTACGGTGGAATTCAGATCGTCGGGTGTAGGGCAAGCACATTGGCTTGCTGAGCCATCTTCCAGACCCCATTATTACACTTGAATACATGTGTGTCACTATTTTGTTTTTACTTACTTCCTCCACCATCCAGGTGCTGGGCCCCTTCCCCCTCTTAAATAGCCCCTCCTGCTTCTCTCATATATCTCATTATTCTTTCATTTCCTGTCCTTTTAGACCTCTTCCTCCCCGTCTTTCTGCCTTCATTTTCCACACGCATGTGTGAGCGTGCGTGCGTGCGTGCATGCGTGTGCATACATGTGTCTGCCCACTCTGTGCCCATCCACTAGTATGCACAGGCCAGAGGCAGATGTAGATTGTTGTAGTGTATTGATCTTCACATAGACACTGAAGCTGCATGTGTTGGCTAGGTTGCCTTGCCTGGAAACTCCTGGAATCCATTTGTCTCTACCCACCAGCCAGCATTGGAGGGTCAGGTCTCCATCCCTGGCTTTTTATGGGCCCTGGGGATTTGAACTCGGGACCTCTTGCTTCCACAGCAAGTACTTTTACCCAATTGATGCATAGACTGTTGTTTAGTACCTAGTACGTGGAACTAGGAACATTTCAGAAAGTGTTGCTGGGGCACAGAGCCCAACCCCTGCCCCCAAGGTTCTTGTTCTTGATCCAAGGGGACTTGGACAGACAGTTCGATTATGTTAGAGGGAGAGAGATTTATTGTATATGGGGTGTGGGTGTTCACATGGGTCCGTGGAATCAAGAGACAGGCACCTCAAGGATGATTCTAGCCTTTCCCAGCTTCAGGGAGGTCATTTCTCTGAACTGAACCACTGTTGCTTGGCAAAGGGCCCTTTTATTCTCCAGTTTACACCTTTGAGCAAGTTAATCTTTGTACCCCAACACCTCTCATCTAAGCTTCCCAAAGGGACAATACCACCTGCGGTGTTCTGGGTTCTTCAGCCAGTTTGCTGCATAGGCTTGCAATTCAGAAAACAAGATTCACATGGAGGGCACTGGGAAACAAAAGGCTGGCTGCTAACACTGGAGTCAAACCAGCTGTAGCTCTGGGAATCCTCCGTACAGATACTGCCGTGAGCATAAGGGTCCAGGTACTGGGAGAAAGGAAAGAAGAGAGAGAGAGAGCCATACTTTGAATAGAGCATGGGAGGCGGGAGGAAGGCTCGGGCCCAAGGCCTTGTTTCTTGTAGTTGTTGAGGGTGCACACAGTTCTCCCAGGGTGCTGTGGGTAGTAGGTGAAAGAGCTGCTCTTTATCCTTTGGAATCAACCAAGGAGGAAGCATTTAATCTTTGCAGTATTTGTTTTAACCTTTCGGTCAGCTGAGAGTTGCTGTGTGTGTGGCCTAGAACTCAGGATGTCCAGGAAGGCTCCATTTGTCTTAGCTTTGGGCCCTGACAGAGCAGCCGTGTTTACTCTCACCTGTCCCCGCTTTACCTGTGGGGCCAGTTTCAAGCCTTAGTCCATTGCTTCAGCCTCACTCCGTCAGCCTCCACGGTCTGTGATCTTTATCCTCCGCTGAGTTTATTTTTCATTTAGCCCCTGAGGGCCAGCGCCTGACCGTGAGCTCTGGGCTGCTTGGAGAGTTCTAGTCTTAACCTTTGACGTAGGCCTCCTTTCAAATTTCACACACACGCACACACACACCCATACCCATGAGGCCCAGCTGTGGAGGTCTGCAGGCAGCATCTTACGATGGGCTCCTGGACCATGTAAAGTCTGTATCTCTACTAAAGACTTTGCATTTTCTTATTTTGTCTTAACTGTCTTTATCCATTTGACTTTAGGCTGGCCTCCTTAGGTTATAAACCTGGATCTTTAGTGTAGAAGTAGAAGGGACCTTGTCTTAGGTCCACTCTGACCCAGTCCTGATGGAGGGAAAGGGCTTCACACACCTGTGGGCTTTCATAAGGGCCGTTATGGACCAATCACACCGTTTGTCTCAGGAAGCTGACCTTGATAGTCATGTGTCCTATTGCAAAGGACCCTTCCCTCCCTCCCTAGCTTCCCGTTGCATTGCAGGTTGCCTTGCAGCTACCAGATGTGGGGTTGCCAGGCCTCAAGTGTCCCTCCAGCCCAGTGGGCCACTGTTTCTCATTTACCCACATTGTCTCAGAGGCTGCGTGTGAGCACTGGGAGCTGGTGACAGGAAGAGAGCTTCCAGTGGACTGTGAGACCTGGCTTTGAAAGGAGACTTCAGGGCGCCACCTGAGTTGGTTGGCAGGCTGGACCTGGTGAGCCCTTGGCATGTGACTGCAGGCCTTGGTTCTGTAAAATCGAGAGGCTGAAGGAGTTTAAGGGGTGGGTAGGGCCCTGGAGGAAAGATGCCAAGGAAGATGTACCCAGGCCTCAAGACAAGTTGGGATTGGATGGGAGGAAGGCTTCCAGGGCAGGCCGGATGCACATGCAGAGCGACTCGGGGCTGTCCTGAGAGGTGGGTGTCTTCAGTTGTCCAGACCAAGGCCCCTACACTGTAGTTGTCCTTGGTAGGCAGAGAAGGGGGAGGGGTAACAGGGGCTAACTGTGTGGGGCTTGCATGCCCAGTAGTCAGGCTAGTGCACCTCCCAAGCTGGTGTCCCATCCCGTTTGTCCAACTCTGCCCTGTTGAGACACCATTGCGTCCTAACCTGCATACCTTGTAAGACCTCTCACCAGCGGCATCAGGTCTGGCCCTCCATCTGCGGTGATCCTCAGGTGCCATTTGTGCTGGGGCCTCCCTCAGAACCCTTGACCCTCTATAGCTTTGGTTGGTAGACCTTTTCAGGGGCCCTGTATACAGGCCTTGGGCATTGGTCTACAGGTCCAGAGAAAGGCTAGCAGAGGGAACGTCCACTCTGAGGGAAGGAGAACAGGTCTTAGGGAGATGGGTTAGGGACACAAAAATACTTAGTGAAATACCTGGAGTAATCAGTGCCCCATGGGATAAAGGGTGCGGTCTGCAAGCTGGCACAACCCAGCTGTCCCTGGGTTGCACGAACCCTGAAAGGATGAGCTGCCCTGGGCCGCTCACTAAAGGAATCCATCAGCAACCCACACGTGGACAGTCGCTGTGGGCCCGCCACCTCTGACTTGCCTCCTCCTTCCCTCTTGCCTTGCAGTGGACATCCTCATCATGGATGACGACGACGTCCCCAGCTGGCCCCCGACCAAGCTGTCCCCACCCCAGTCCGCGCCTCCACCTGGGCCCCCTCCCCGGCCACGGCCGCCTGCACCTTACATCTGCAACGAGTGCGGCAAGAGCTTCAGCCACTGGTCGAAGCTGACGCGGCATCAGCGCACGCACACAGGCGAGCGGCCCAACGCTTGTAGCGACTGCGGCAAGACCTTCTCGCAGAGCTCGCACCTGGTGCAGCATCGGCGCATCCACACGGGCGAGAAGCCATACGCCTGCTCCGAGTGCGGCAAGCGCTTCAGCTGGAGCTCCAACCTCATGCAGCACCAGCGCATCCACACGGGCGAGAAGCCCTACACCTGCCCCGACTGCGGCCGCAGCTTCACACAGAGCAAGAGCCTGGCCAAACACCGGCGCTCGCACAGTGGCCTCAAGCCCTTCGTGTGCCCGCGCTGCGGCCGCGGCTTCAGCCAGCCCAAGAGCCTGGCGCGCCACCTGCGGCTGCACCCAGAGCTGTCAGGCCCCGGTGTGGCGGCCAAGGTGCTAGCGGCCAGCGTGCGGCGTGCCAAGGCGCCCGAGGAGGCGGCAGCGGTGGACGGCGAGATCGCCATCCCCATGGGTGACGGCGAGGGCATCATTGTGGTGGGCGCACCGGGGGACGGTGCCGCGGCAGCTGCAGCCCTGGCGGGGACAGGGCAGCGGGCAGCGGGGCCACGGTCTCGGAGGGCGCCGGCGCCCAAGCCGTACGTGTGCATGGAGTGCGGGAAGGGCTTTGGGCACGGGGCCGGGCTGCTGGCCCACCAGTGCGCGCAGCACGGGGACGGGCTGGGGGCAGCGGGTGGCGAAGAGCCCGCACACATCTGCGTGGAGTGTGGCGAGGGCTTCGTGCAGGGCGCTGCGCTGCGGAGACACAAGAAGATCCACGTGGTTGGGGCGCCGTCGGTCTGCAGCAGCTGCGGACAGAGTTTCTATCGGGCAGGCGGGGAGGACGACGGCGAGGACCAGTCGGCCGGTGCGCGGTGTGCCGAGTGTCGCGGTGGGGAGGCCCGGTAGGGACGGGGGTGCCCGAGGGGTGGGCAGGGCCCCTCGGGCTCAGTGGGGACTATCAGCGAGCAAGACCACGAGGCCCAGGGAGAACCGGACCGAGAGGAGCAGTGGCCTCCCTCCTTCCTCGGCCCACACTGTCCTGGGTGTGAGGGGGACCCTCGGCCAGCAGGACAGGTTCTCAGGACTGCTCACAGCCTCTCTGCTGACCCGCACCGGCCCTGTGTAGGTTTCCCAGCCTGGGAGCCAGAGACAGTGTGTGAGAGAACTGTGTAGATCAATCGGCACAAGACCCTCAGTGGAGAGGCCATCCCCCACCGCAGGTGTGGGGCCACGGTGTCCTAAGGAATGGAAGGAATCCTGGCCTTGTGCACCAAGAGGGTCTTCCTTCCCTTCTAGAATTTTCTTTTAATCATACCTTTTTGACCTCTCCCGTTCATTAATTTTTCTGCCCCGTGGGTCCTTGTCGATTTCCTAGCCCAAGTCGTCCCTCTCCCTCCTGGATTTGCAGTAGCAGAGGAGTGAAGAAGTAGCAGCCTGCTCCCAGCACGGTCTCATTGAGAGGACGGACGGGGTCCTGTGTGCTCCCTGTCCTGACGGTGGAAGAAGGGATGTGGGAGCAATAAATGGCACTATTCAATTGTCCCAGCACTGCCTGGTTCTTGAGTTTGGGACGGAGAAGGGAAAGAGGTTAAATGGAGACAGTCCACTTTGGTGAACACCAGTGACAAGTGCCAGACCAGAGGTGACCATGCTGTGCCCAGAGTGTCCTCAGCCATTTCAGGAAGGAGGCCTGCTTGCTGAGGAGCTCCTGCTGGGAAAGGGATTCAGGCACTAACATCTCCACAGGAAGGTGCAGCTTCCAGGGACTCCTGTGTTATGACTCATCCAAGTGCTGGTTACCAGTTAGCCATATGTCTGCCTTCTCTGCAGAGCGGGCTGTATCTTTGTGGCTGCTACCGTCTAGTGAAGGGGATCTCAAAGGAGGAAGATGGGCTATGGGTAGGCAGTGTCTCTGGATCCAGCACCCGCATGAGGAGAGGATGTTGGCAGTTACCACGGCATGTTTTGTTCGGGTGCTGCTCACTCAGTTCCAGTCCAGTGCATCCCCCCAGAACACTGCTGCTGGAGGGACCTTCAGTGTTAGGTGTAGTTTCCTGGACTCACAATCCTCAGCTCATTGTCGCCTGTTCCAGGGTTTTGCAGGGCTGTATTGTGGACTTAGCCAGGGAGTACTTTGAGGCTTGTCTGGGGAAGTGAGGGATAAACTGTAGGTTTCTTCCAACCATCCCAAGGAGTAACGAGGCCTCTTGTTAATGGGTGTTGTGGGAGGAGGTATGAGTCCTGAGTGTGCCCATCTGTGTCCGTCCTGTCCCATCTGAAGGATGAGGTCAGAAGTGAAGCTCACAGCGGGCGACTGGTGGGCCAGGGCATGATCACCCTCTGGAAGATTTATCAGTAGTTGTAGTTATCAGGAAAACACTCAGGTGGCCACTGCCCGCCTTGGGTGAGTGGCACTAGAATAGCTTAGTAGGTACTGTCCCAAAGGAGAGGTGGAGTTATGTATGGAAGGGCACAGGTTAGTAAAGATCGTAGAAATGGTGCTTAAAAACCCTCCAATTCTTTCTGCCAAATGCTGACCTGGGACATTGTTGGAGGCCAGAGACGGAGGAGAGATGCTCTGTTCTTGTAGAGGTAAGGCAGAGCGTACCTCCAGGACACAGACAAGCTGAAGATCAGTTTCCACTCTGCTTCTTATACGCTGTGTTACTCTGAGCAGATGAACCAAACTCTCTAGTCCTTGATTGCCTCTCTTCTCTGTGGAGGGAAGAGCTGGCCTGTCTCATGAGCTTTTGAAGGTGATCTAAGCCAGATGTGAGGTCATGGGCCTCTGCACCTCCCCTAAGCAGGAACTGAATGCAATGATGAGGAGCTGATGCTTAAATCCCATCTCTGTGCTATCCATTTGGGCCTCAGGTACTTAATGTAACTCAGTAGAGAATTTACTGAGCCAATGTGTCTATGCACTTAGGTCAGGGTCATCCCAGCCCGCTCCCTCCCAAGTCCACCCAGTGCCAACCTCAGTCTCTTGAGACCCTGCCTTGGGAATCGCCTGAGGTGTAGCTGTCCCAGTATACAGGTGGACAGATGGAGGACAAATAAGGCTGGGCAACCTTCTCAATTTTGGGAAAACAGAGGTAGTTATCAGTGGGAACATCATTTGGTGTTTGCTTTTGTACAAGCCATTTAGTTAGCTCTGTATCCACGATGCTATGCATTTCTCTAAGAAATTTGTGTGTGTGTGTGTGTGTGTGTGTGTACACATATGGAGGACAAGTTACAAGCATCAGTTTTCCTTCCACCACGTGAGTCCCAGGGATTGGAATCTGCTTGTGGCAGGCTTGGCAGCAAGCCTCCTTACCCACTGAACCATCTAAGCCCCAGCTCTGCTTTTGATGTGGAGCTGCTGCTGCTACAGCTGGCATGGGGACCGGACAGTTTGACCCCAATCCCAGTGTGAAGCAGAACACCCACCCCACCCCCAGTCCACAGCCCCAAACCCCCACTCTCCCCTGAGTCGTCCTCCTTGGTTGTATTTACTGAGCATGTGCTATCCACGAGGGGCTCAGCTGAGTTCCAGGAACACGGTGGTGACTTTGACAGCCAGTCTGTGCCCTCGTGAAGCTTGCCCTCTGGGGTGAAGGGAGACACACCAGTAAGGCAGGACAGAGTTGCTTAGAGAGGGGCCCCAGGGAGTGTAGAACAGACAGACACGGGAGAGAGGAACGAGTCTTCTCGGCCTCCTCCCATCCCTGTGTGCTCTGTGCACCCAGGAACACTCCTAATGTATATCTGCTTCCCAGTGTGTCTTGGAGACTGGCTCGAGGGAATAGCGGTGTGTGGAGAAAACTGGGTTCTGTGCTCAAGTAACTTGGGAACATGCCAAATTCAAGTTTTCTAACGCATACAGCAGGGCTTGGCATGTGTCACGATGCCAGGTGCCCCTCCCCCACGCGTGTGCAAACTCTCAGAGGACAACGGCACACCCCTTCCTTCCCTGCCCAAACCCGTTCCAAGCTAGTCCTGAAGCCACATTCTCTGCAGAGCAGGCTGTAAGGGGTGGGATGCTGCTGTCCGGTGGGGAGGGGGACCACGGGAGGAGGAGGAGGAGGAGGAGGAGAGGAGGAGGAGGAGGAGGAGGAGGAGGAGGAGGAGGAGGAAAGAGCATGAGAAACAGCTTGGGATATAGTGTCCAGTGTTTTCCGAACTCCCTTGGCCAGGAAACCTTCCATTCCTAGAGCATCTTGGGGCTGGTATGCTGAATTCCACCACTGTGTGGTGCCCAAGCCCTGCCCGTCAGCACCATGGACAGAGAGCCCTGCTCTAGTTCTCCCAGTGGAGCCCCCAGCTCAGTCCGCAGGCATCCTGGTCTCTTACCCACCTTATGCCCCATTAAGGGAGCAGCATCCCATTTTCCAGCAAAGGAAACAGAGGTCAGTGTAGGCCAAGCACTGTGCCCAGGCTCCCTCAAGAGATGACTAGCAGAGATTAACCATTTCGAGTCTAAGTCCATATATTATGCTTTGCCAAAACTAGCCCACAGAGTAAATTGATTTTTTTTACATTGATTTATTGTGCACATTCATTCGCACATGGCAGTCAGAGGAGAGCTGCAGGAGCCATTTCTTGACTTCCACCATGTGGGTTCTGAGGATCCAGCTCAGGTGGGTGGTCTTGGAGGTGGGTGCCTTCACTTGCTGAGACGTCTCATCAGCCCACACTGTTTTGATGGATATAATTATTTGGGCTGATGGGAGCTATACTGAGGGAATTTGGGCAAGGAATTAATGTTTGGTCACAGTAAGATTTTTTTGTAAAGTCATGGGTACTTGGAGGAAATGCTAATAAATTCCTCCTGTGGCAGCTTCTAGAGTCCTTACTCCATGCACCATCCTTGAACAATACCTAGTACAAAAATAGGGCTTTTAAAAAAATGTTAGTGTACAATATCTATCTATCTATCTATCTATCTATCTATCTATCTATCTATCTATCCGTCTGTCTATCTATCTACCTATGTCTATCTATCTATCTATCTATCTATCATCTATCTATCTATCTATCTATCTATCTATCTATCTATCTATCCGTCTGTCTATCTATCTACCTATGTCTATCTACCTATGTCTATCTATCTATCTATCTATCTATCTATCTATCTATCTATCTATCTATCCGTCTGTCTATCTACCTATATCTATCTATCTATCTATCTATAGATACATATATATATTGAGACTCCATGGTGTCATGTAGTCCAGGCTAACCTGGAACCTGCTATGTGGTTGACGATGACCATCAACTGACCCTCCTACCTCCACCTCCCAGTGTTGAGACTGCAGATGTGTGCTGCCTCACACAGCCAAAAAAGCAATGTGTCCCTGGGGCAGAGACATGGCTCTGTGGTTCAAAGCACTTCTTGCTCCTGTGGAGGACCCGGGTTTAGTTCCCAGCACCTACATCAAGCAGCTCACAATTGCTTGTAACTCCAGCTCCAGGGTATCTGATGCACTTTTATGGTCTCTGCAGGCACCTGCACTCACGTTAGTGCACATGTGAGCACACACGTACATACACATAATTTTAATGCACACGTCTCACTATGACACGTATTTGTACTTTGCTCATATTTGCCCCTACCCTCCCCGACCTCTTCTTCCACCTCTCTGGTTAGTTCCTACAGTCCTACAAACAGTCCCCTTCTGCTTTCATGCCACACACTCACAGAGACACATCTGGTTTCTGCATACGGGAAAATGCACGCTACAGGGCTTAAAGAATTGCCTTTTCAGGGCCAGTGAGAACTCGGTAGTGAAAGTCCTAGCCATGCAAGCCTGACAACCAGACTTTACTCCCTGGGATTCACACGGTGGACAGAGAGAACGGACTCCCCAAAGGTGTCCTTTGATCTCCACGTGTGTGCTGCAGCATACATGTGTCTATGCCCACACCGACACGCTCCTACACAGAAATAAAATTCCTTTCAGTGTGAGCATGCCCTACACACCATCATTCACATACTCACCATCTACAGTTAATCTATTAACAGTAACCAATATATGAACTGTGTATCTCCCATTCACCTGACTTTGTCATCCATTCCTGGGGATCCAACCCAGGGCCTTATGCACTTGCAGCAAACACTCTGTCACTGAGCTAGATCCCCAGCTCCCACTCAGCTCATGACATCTTTATCATCATCATCTATGTTTCCATCAACTGTGCATTTATCTATGATTGTCTAGAAGGGCCAGTACACATCTCTCAATTTTTGTCCCCTACTCTCTCCCTTGCTCATTCTCTCCCCCTTTTCTCTCTCCTCTCTGTATCTCTCTTCCTCTATATCCCCCTTTCTCCCTCTCTCTTCCCTTTTCCCTTCCCCATCCCAACCTGACCTCAAACTTGCTACATAGCCGAGAATAACCTGCCTCCCCTTCCTGAGTGCTGGGGTCACAAGCATATGCCACTATGATGGGTTTTAAGTGGTGCTGGGGGTAAAATCCAGGGCTTCATGTGTGCTAGGCAAGTCCTCTGCCAACTGAGCCACAGACTGGGCCCCTGTCTGTTTCTTTGACCAGCATGCACACGTCTCCCTGCATGGACACAAAGGGTTCAGTTCATTCTTGGTGGATGCACAATTTGTTTCTGGCTCCTTGCTGCTTATCAATACCACTGCAAGAACCTATGCCCATGAAAGAGGTGTGTGTGTGTGTGTGTGTGTGTGTGTGTGTGTGTGTGTGTGTGTGTGTCTCACTCTGGGGAGATGAGACTATTTATGGTGCTCTTTAGCAAGCAGTGCACACGGTGACTGCTGACCCCCACCCCCACCTCCTCCAGGCGAGGCATGGTCACGGTGGATGCCTGATTCTAGGAAGGGAGAGTTTAATGGACATCAGTGATTTGCTTGGATCATACTAGATGTCACGTCCCTTAGCAGATGGAGCGAGCAGACCCAGAGAACTGAGGTGCTGATTAGGGGCTTTGGAGATGGCACAGTAAGTCTAGCCTTGGCTAACAGTTTCCACTATACTCTAAAGACCTGGCTGAGGCCAGTGAGGCGGTTCAGTAGACAAAGGTGCCTGTCTCCAGACCTGACAACCCCAAGTTCCATCTCCGGGACCCACATAGTGGAAAGAGAAAGCTCTTGCACAAAAGCAGTCCTCTTGATTTCTTCTTCTTCTTCTTCTTCTTCTTCTTCTTCTTCTTCTTCTTCTTCTTCTTCTTCTTCTTCTTCTTCTTCCTCTTCCTCTTCCTCTTCCTCTTCCTCTTCCTCTTCCTCTTCCTCTTCCTCTTCCTCTTCCTCTTCTTCTTCTTCTTCTTCTTCTTCTTCTTCTTCTTCTTCTTCTTCTTCTTCTCCCCCCCCCCCCAAGACAGGGTTTCTCTGTGTAGCTTCCTGCATTCTTCAGTGTGCAGGAGTCTGTCCTGGAACTCGATCTGTAGACCAGGCTGGCCTCAAACTCACAGAGATCTGCCTGCCTCTGCTTCCTGAGTGCTGAGATTAAAGGCGTGCGCCACTACTGCCTTGGCTAGTCTCACTTTCACATCCCTGCCCCCAAAACCAAAACCAAAGGTGTTTGAAAAAAAAAAAAAAAGTCATGGCTGCATCTTGTTCATCAGAGCCAGCCCTGCTTGGAGAGGCCATCTATCCCTACACAATGGAATATCCCACCAAAAGGAGTGAAGACACCAGACAACTTACAACATGGATCAGCTTTGCCAAGGACAGACAATCCCAAAGGGCTGTTACTTCCCCCACGACAGCGTCGGAGATTAGCAGAAACCTCGTGACAGACTGTATCTGAATCAGTACTCTGCAAGGGTAAAGGGAAAGCCATTGGGTGCTACTGAGATTTCCAGGAATAATATAGATTATGCCTCCAATTATGGGAGATTATGCCTCCAATGTCTAGTGACAATTCTGGCTGCTGCAGCTGGAGCTGGTGAGTCTTCCTGTGGGCATGTGGTGTATGGAAGCCAGGCATGCTTTCCTGCATTCTTCAGTGGGCAGGAAGCCCCTTAACAAAGAAGCAGGTAGACCCAGTGTCTGGTAACCTACCAGGAGCAAAGGAGAGGCACCTTCCTCTCCTCCCGGGCCTCCCTGCTGAGACATGGTGCTCTACTGCCACCTGGTGTGCATTGAGAGAACATCAAGAGCGTAAGAGACTACAGGGATGAAAGGGAACCTGAAACGGTCTATCCCCTTGAAAGGCCCAGGAAACTTTTCAATGGCTTCAGCTGCGTACACCGCTTCACCAATCTGCAGGGTGTGACAAGGCAGGCAGAGACAAGAAAAGTGACCTAAGCTGAGATCTACAATAAAACGTGAAGAAGATTGGCTGGAGAGATGGCTCAGTGGTTAAGAGCACTTACTGCTCTTGCACAGGACACCAGACCCCAGCACCCACATCGGTAGCTTACAAGCTCCTCTAACTCCAGCTCCAGGGGACCAAACACCTCTGGCCTCTGAGGGCATCTGCACTCGTATACACAATGCAAAGAATTGGCATCTCCCAGCCTTGCCCCGTCCAGAGACCCTGCTCAGTGCAATGTCACCACACTCACCAAGGTGAGTGTGTCCTCCACGGCTCTCCCTTTGCAAAGGAAAAAAAAATGTGAAAACCAGAAAGTCAACATTTGGGGCTTACTCTGAGCATCAGTTGTTGAGAACCTTTAACATTTCAGAGTTTGTCTGATTTGTGAGGGTGGTTTTAGTTCCCCAGGTTCAGCAGCAGCCCAAAGCCAAGCCACTTGAACTTCAGGGCTCTCCTGCTGGACCCCTCACTGCTCTCCACAGACAGGCGGGGAAGTAGCTTGAGTGCTGGAACCCTTGGCCCTCGGCTGTCAGGCTTCTTTTATCCCGTGGCTCTGCAGAACTTGCGCTGTGTTTTTGAGACAAGGTCTTAATCTTTTAAATTAACATTTTAATTTTATATGTATGGGCATTCTGCCTCCATGCATGTCTGGGCACCATGTGCATGCCTGGTGCCCTTGCAGGCCAGAAAGGGGCAGCGGGTCCCCTGGAACAGCAGTTATAGACAGTTGTGAGTCACTATCTGGGTGCTGGGAATCGAACTCGGGTCTGTTAGAAGAGCGGCTGGTGCTCTAACCACCGAGCGATCTTTCTAGCCCCCACCCCCGGAGGTTATTTTTGCATCTGTCCTTGTAGGTGTGACGAGCTGTAAGACTGTGACAGTGCAGGACCTCTACCTGTCCATATAATACACAGCTGTTGGAGACCATACAGATCAGTCGCTACCACACTCTACTCTGGGATTCCCCCCCCCCCCCAGATTTCGCATGTATCCCAGTCTAGCTTTGAACATTACACAGCTGAGGCTGACCTTGATCTTAAGATTCTCCCGTCTTCCCTGCTGGGTCTGATGCCTTCTTCTGACCTCTGCCTGAAGGCATCAGGTCCACATGTGGTACGCATCTACACATCAAGGCAAAAACCACCTCAGACCCATCCTAGACAACTCTAGCACGTGTCAACTTGATAAAAATCCGAGGAGCAGTGATAGGTACCTGTCAGCAGAAGTAGGTGCAGAGTTTAAAAAAAAAAATAAAATCAAGTAAAAAGTATTGCATATAAAAAAGTAGGCAAGACAAAAAATATGTTGTATCTGTCTGTCAGATGGTCAAGGTGGCCAAAAGCATCCCGAAGGATTGACATTTCCCTAGCCTGTGGGGAACCACTATGGCCCCTTCTACCCCCCCAGTCTCCTCACAGATCAGGTCACATTGGCCAAAAGTCTGGGTGTGAAATCTCCCAGGACGGGAGAGGCGTTCTTGCAAAGAAGCCCCAGTAGGCACAGCGCTAATAGTACCAGCACAGAATAACTGTGTGCTTCTGGAAAAACTTAAATACTTGTGTGTGAATACATGTGCTCATGTCACAGTGCATGTGTGCAGGTCAGAGGATAACTTGGGGACTCGGGTCTCCCTTTTCCTCATCTGAGTCTTAGGGATCTAACTCATGTTGCCAGTCTTGGTGACAAGTGCCTGTACCCACTGGGCCATCTTGCTCCCACCTCCCAGAAATAAGCTTTTCACTCTCATTCGAAGGGTTGGTAGGGAAGTCAGGCCAGTCACCTGACTTTTAGGCTTTTTTTTTCCTTTCCAAGACAGTGTCTCATTATGTAGCTCTGCCGTCCTAGAACTATGTAGACCAGCCTGGCCTCAGACCCACAGAGATCTGCCTGACTCTGCCCTCCCAAATACTGGGATCAAAGGTGTGCCCCACTATGCCTGGCAACTTTTAGGCACACACACACACACACACACACACACACACACACACACACACACACACACAGGAACAAGCCTAGAACATTCTCAGGCTTCAGAAATGCTGCCTGAATAACGGGGCTCCAAACAAAGCCGTTTGAGGCACGTGGAAGGGGCCGAATGCTTTCTGGACATTCCTGGCATGACAATGGCACCCAGAAGTAGATTGACTGGGTTTGAGTGACGGCTCTACTACCCACTCCATGGGAATGCTCAGGCATCCCATTGCCTCAACTTCCTTATCTGTAAGATGAGGACAAAGTACTTCCAAGGTGCTGTGAAGGTCTGTAGAGAGATGAAGTGTACATATGCATCGCAGGAGATCAGCCGTTCTCAACCTGTGGGTTTCGACCCCTCTGGGGGTCGCAGATCAAATATGCTGCACATCAGATCTTTACAATTTATAACAATAGCAAAATTACAGTTAAGTGGCAACAAAATAATTTTACGGTTGGGGAACTGCGCTAAAGGATTGCAGCATCAGGAAGGTTGAGAACACTGGTCTGCAGGGGGGGAGGGGGATGAAGCGTTGACTTTCCATGTGTGCTGTGCACATGTACGTAAACACACATACTTGTGTGTGAGTGTGCGTGTAGAGGCCGGAGGTTGACTTTGGGAAGTCACACTCCATTGCTTTCTCACCTTACTGAGACAGGGTCTCAGTCAAGCCTAGAGCTCATGGATATGGCCAGTTTTGCTAGGCAGCTTGCTCTGGGAACCCCTTGTCCCGGATTCTGGAGGCTGGGAAGGCAACCATGCCTAGCCCTCATCCTGGTCTTCACACGTGCATGGCAAGAGCTTAACTGCTCAGCTGTCTTCCCTAGTCCCAGATGGAGTGTCTTAGCAGGATGGGGGAAGGGAAGAGAAACGGATTGCAGGCATGCACCAATGGCTATGCATGGGTTATGTGGTGCTGGGGATGAGCCAGGGCTTCCTGCATGCTAGGCAAGTGCTCTGCCTACCACGCTTCATCCCAGCCCTCTCGTGGTTGGGATATTTGCTCTGTATTCCTGGCAACAAGGAGCTATACAAACAGGCTTAAATCTAGCCAATAGACACAGGACAAATTTGCAGGTGACCATGCTCCTGCATGCCGACCAATGGCTGCTCTTGGCTTTGGAAAATCAGCCAATCAGGAAGTGGCAGAACATGCTGGCTCACTAGCATGGACGTTGAGTGAGTCTCACCGCCCTTTGATAGGTGTGTGTGCTTCAACCAGCACCTTCATGAATGGAGGCCAATCCTCCTCCACCTCTGCTCTGAATGTGTGTGTAGGGCCCAGAGAACCACCTTGGGTATTATTCCTCAAGTGCTGTCTACCTTTCTGTATTTTTTTTTTTTGAGATAGTACCTCATTGTCCTGGAATTCTCCAAGTAGGCTAGGTTGGCCAGCCAGTGAGCTCCAGGGATCCTCTGTCTCCTCCCCGTGAGGGTTAGTGTTATCAACTTGACAGAACCTAAAATCACCTGGGGTCCAGTGTCTGGGGGACTGTGTTGATTATGTTGAGGTAGTGTGCTCATTTGTCAGCTTGACACAAGCCAGGTTACTTGGGAAGAAGAAAAAGTCAGCTGGGACAAGGCGTCCATCAAATTGGCCTGTGGGACGTTTTCTTGATTGGTGATTCATGGAGAAGGGCCCAACCTACTGTGGGCAGTGCCACCCATAGGAATGGAGTCCTGGTTGTATAAGGAAGCCAGCTGAGCAAGCCATGAAGAGCCAGCCAGTAAAAGCATTCCTGCATGGCCTCTGCTCCAGCTCCTGCCCTGACTTTCCTCAGTCACGGACTGTGACGTGGAAATGTCCAATAAACCCTTTCCTCCACAAGTTGGTTCCGGCGTTGATTACAGCAACAGAAAACTAACAACTACACCAGATGGGAAGCCTCACCCCATTATAGGCGGCACCATCCATCCCGATGGTACAAATGGAAAAAGGGGGTTAAGCAGCGTTACACATCCATCCCTCTCTACTTCCTGAGTGTGGGTGTGATGTGACACATCTTCCCTGACACGATGGACTATCTCCTCTTGAACCATTAGCCAAATACCAATCCTTCCTCCCCTTCAGTTGATTTTGTCAGAATCTTGTTTCTCCATCCCCCAGTGCTGGGATTACGAGCACATGCCAGCACACCTGTGTATCGAAGGGCACGGTAAGCCCTTTACCAACTGAGCCATCTCCCCCATCCCGTCTCCGCCCTTACATCATACGCCCACTGATCAACATGACCACCTTGATGCTTTTCCAAATGCTAAGTGTTTATTTTATTCCTGCTACATTGTCCGAGGTGGAACAAACAGTTCCCAGACACGGAGGTCCTAGGATCCGGGGCAGAAGGGGACTCATGTCTTCAGTTTTTCCACCAGTTACGGTCATCGTCGTCGTCGTCAAAGGAATACCAGTCACCATCAATCACCATGTGGGGCTTGATACACTGCAATTCCTCCAGCTGCCTTCTCACCTGGGCATAGTACTGCTGCTTCCACAGGCTGGGAAGAAAGGGACTGTCACACTAGGACCCATCTTGGACTTGTTCCCCTCTTCCCCAGATGTCCTGGAAGCCAAATCAAGGACTAACAAACCTGTTTGAGAACTCTCAATTAGAGTGGTACATGCGTGTGTGCATATGTGTGTATGTGTGTTGTGTTGTAGATGTGTTTTGTGTGTATGTGTGCACACAGCCTCGAGTGTTCAGGTGATACATTGTCTCTCTTTTTTAAAGATTTATTGATTATATATACAGTGTTCTGCCTGCATGTACGTCTGCAAGCCAGAAGAGGGCACCAGATCTCATTACAGATGGTTGTGAGCCACCATGTGGTTGCTGGGAATTGAACTCAGGACCTCTGAGCCATCTCTCCAGCCCGCAGGTGATCATTGTCATTTGTCTTTCTACATCATTCTTAACTTTGAGACAAACTCCCTAAACCTAGAGCTTGCTGATTGGCTAGACAGGCTGACCGACCAATGAACTACTCCAGGCTCTTCTGGTCTCTGTCTCCCCAGTGCTAGAACTGCAGGTGTGTGCACCACCACATCTGGCTTTCACATGGGTTCTAGGCAACAGAACTCTCAACCCTCGGGCTTGTGTGGGACACAATTCACAGACAACGGCTAAGTCAGAGACCGCTGTGCCTTGTGCCTCACTGGTACAAGTGGCTGGGTTTCTTAATTGTTTTTTTTTTCCAAGACAGGGTTTCTCTGTGTAGCCCTGGCTGTCCTGGAACTCACTCTGTAGACCAGGCTGGCCTGGAACTCAGAGATCCGCCTGCCTCTGCCTCCTGAGTGCTGGGATTAAAAGTGTGCGCCACCACTGCGTGGCTCCAGCTGGCCCTTTGGGCTTGTTTATGCATGTGCCTTGTGACATGTTTAGGTAGAGATTGCCAACCTCACCCAGCCAGGTTCCCAGTCCACCATCCTCTCCCTGCCTACCTTCAGTGGCATGCTGCATCCCTAGAGTCGCTCCTTGGCCTTTTGCATTTATATCCATGTGATAAAACTTGTGCTTTGGATAAAGCTCCTGGCTATTACCTGGGGAAGTCGCTCCACGGAGCCATCTCACCATCAACCTCATCTGGGCTGACTTACCCAATTATCCGCAGATTACAGGTAGAATGCAGGAATGCAGAGCACAGCTTCAACATCCCCGACGTACTGAAGTCATTCTTTATTAGGTTTAGGCTGGCAAGACGCCGGTTGGAAGACAGGGCCAGTGACAGTGCCTCACAGCATTCGGAAGTCAACCCGCATGCCTCCAACCTACCCGGAAGCCCAGGGAAGAACCATCAGTGGTGGATCCTTCATTCAGCCCGTAAGTGTTTCAACCCAATGTTTAAAAACGGTGAGTGGGGCTCTCTCCCTCCCCAGAGTTTGCTCTGGTGGAGGAGCTCGAACATTCCCAATTCTAAGTTCTGGTTCTGGTTCTGAGAGCTGCTGGGTACACCGCAAACTGTCTTTGTGAAAATGTCTAGAGACACTGAAATAGGGAATACAACAGGCGACACAAGGAACACAGAAATACTCGCTGATTAATAAGTGATACTGTGCCTGGTGGTGGTGGCCCACGCCTTTAATCCCAGCTCTTGGGAGGCAAAGGCAGGCAGATCTCTGAGTCTGAGGCCAGCCTGGTCTACAGAGTGAGTTCTAGGACAGCCAGGACCACACAGAGAAACCCTGTCTAGAAACCCTTCTCCCCTTGCCCCCCCAAAATGATATTGCACCAGCAACTCAAAGATGAGGTGCTGCATGAGGGAGGCAGGATGTCCAGACATGCACATGATGCCCCAGAAGCCACATGGATACCGTGGGAGGACCCTTAACAGATAACCATGTCTAGACAGTCAGAACTTAGCCAGAGACTATGACATTATGAGATGAAATGGAAAACTCTGAAGGTTTAGCATTCTAGGAAAATGGATAAAACTGGAGATTAGCATGTTAAATGAATTAAGTCAGACTTGGAAAGAAATAATGCATTGTTTTCTCTTGGTCTTGGAGCCCAGATTGTAAGTAGATACATAAAGTCATACATGCCTCTAAAAGTAGATGTGAAGTTGTCTAGGGGAATGAAGGGGACGGATGGGATGGGGTGGGGGATGAGAGAGGAGAAGCTTCAGAGGGGTGTGTGTGTGTGTGTGTGTGTGTGTGTGTGTGTGTGTGTAAACTTGGTCAAAGTACATTATATGTATTTGTATGAAAATGTCCCTGTGAAACCCAATATTATGTAGGATGAATGTATGGCAATAAAAATTTTAGGGCTTTATCCCAAGAAGAGCAGCATGCCAGAGGATATCATTGACAAGGGGCTGGAGAGATGGCTCAGTGGTTGAAAGCATTTGCTGCTCTTGCAGAGGACCCAGGCTTGGATATCAGCACCCACCACCAGGCGGCTGACAGCAGCCTGTAACTCTGGCTCTGGGAGATCTGATGCCTTCCTTCTGGCCTTGCTGGGTACACACGTGCTTGTGATGCAAATAAACACATGCAGGCGCACACACATATGCACATGCGGCACATTTTAAATAAAAAGATTAAACCACCGCGGAGCTGGGCATGGCAGCACACGCCTGTAATCCTCACACTCAAAAGGCTGAGCCAGGAAGATCGTAAGGTCCAGGCCACTTGGGCTGCACAGAAAGATTCCGCCTCTAAAGGAAGAAAAATCAATTGATGATGGTATATCAGAGTGTTCTGATATTTAAAAAGTTGCACTTGTTTTGTGCATGCATGCGTGCGTGTGTATGCTTGCTGGGGTGCATGTGCGAAGGTCAAAGGACAATTTACTACAGTTGCTTTTCTCATATCATTTGAATCCCAACATCGGAACTTGGGTTGTTGGGAGCCTTTATGTTGAGCCATCTCACTGGCCCATATTCTAGTATTTAAAAAAAGTTTATTTTTATGTATGTGTATCTCATGTGTCTGTGGGAGCATGCACGTGTGCATGCGTGTGTTAGGATCTCAGAGAACCTCACAGCATAGCCCAGACTGGCCTCAAACTCAAGGTGATCCTCCTACTTCATCCTATTGTGTGCTAGAATGACGGGTGTGAGTCACCGCATCTGGGTAGCACTCTGGGCTAAGAGGCTTCCCAGGTGGTTGAGACACGAACGTCTTAAGGACCACCGGTGTAACTGGCTGCTTTGGGTTCATTCTTGCTAGATTCCATGTGCTGCACCACCAAGGTCTTAGCTGTCTCTGTTTCCACCACCCAGCACCCAGCACCATGCCCGTCACAGAAGGGAAGTTCAATGAGTATCTGACACCCAGACCCACAACTCCACAAAGGTCCTTAACATCACACCACCACCCTGGTGTCATGCTCATGTCCTCAAAGACGTGACCCCCAAGAAATTACCCAAGTCTCCTCAGGGAGCTGTCACTATGCCTCAGTCCCTTGCACAGGGCTATGACTCCGACGTCACCCAGGGCGTTGTTACCGAGATCCAAGCTCTTCAAGTGCTTGTTGGCTGTGATCACGCAGGCCAGATCTTCGCAGCAATCCTCTGTGAGCTGGCAGCCCACTAGTCTGCAGGAGACACGGGAAATCCATGTCCTTCGGTGGGGAAGGACTACGGTGGGAATAATATTCAGAAACATTCAGAAACACTGCCTTTATTTTCTTCTAAGAGACTGTCTTGGGGTCAGCGAGATGGTTCAGTGGATGAAGGTATTTGCCACCACCAGTGATCATCCTAAGTTTGAGCCCCTGGAACCATGTGGTTGAAGGTAGAACTGAGTCCTGTAAGCTGTCTTCTGACCTCCAAGTGGGCATTGTTGCCCATAAAGGCCCTCACTCCAAATAAGAAAATAAACACATGTAATTTAAAGAGAGATGGTCTTTATTCTGTGTGTGGCGTATGCAGGTGTGCACAGGCATGGGTGGGTATGGGTGTATCCACACCTGTGCATGCCTGTGTAGAGTCCAGAGATCGACACCTCAGGAATACTCTCGCTGTGCCTTAAACTTGTCATTTTAGAGGGACTTGCTGGCCAGTGAACCCCCGGGATCTGCTTGGCCGCCTCCTCCCTTAGTGTTGGGGTTACAAACATGTGCAGGGGGCTTCGACATGAATTCTGTAAATCTCAGTGCCAGCTCTTCATGTTTGCTCAGCAGGCGCTGTATCCACGAAGCCATCCCTCCATCCCCAAGAGATGGCCTTTCTGTCTACTCTCATGAATGGCACAGAGTGGATGGCACATTAGTCTGGGAGACAGCGGTGGAGTGGGTATGGATGAATGGAGGCATCTTTGGAAAAATGACTGTATACTAGGCTGGGGGGGCATGGCTCAGTGGTAGAACACCTGCCTAGAATCCCCCAGTGAGGGGCTGGGGGTGTGGCTCAGTGGTAGAGTGCACATACAAGGATCTTAGTTCCATGCCTGGAGCACCACAAACAGAAACCATAAAACCAAAACCAAAACCCAACCAACCGAACAAAAAAGCCCCACCAAACCAAATAATCTCTGAAGAAATGAACAGACCTTAAGGGATCAAGGTTGACCCTGAACTCGTAATCCTACCTCAGGGCTCCTGTTCAGTCATTCCTTCCTTCCCTCAATGCTGTCGACTCAACACATCACTTTACACAGCTAGTGTGGTTCCCAGAAGCCTGAGCACTTAACCATAGAATTAAACTTCTCGTGTCTCCCTGTCCATCTCTCTCGCCTTCTAGAAACCTGGGCGGTAGGGATGCCCCTCAAACACCACTGCCCACTCACTCCAGCTCTTGGAGGTGACACATCGGCTCCCGGAGAGCATCACACAGAAGCTTCACCCCGCCATCCTCCATGGGGTTCATGGTCAGGCTCAGGTGGGTCAGCTTTCTGTTGTTGATAAGCATCAGCGCCAGGAAACCGTAGGCATCTCCTTTGAGGCCGCACTGGTTCAGTCTATGGGGACACAGACGGGAAGAGGACAGGATGGGCACTGCACACACACGGCACACACAGCCTTGGATAAGAGACACCTCTCTGCCTCAGTTTACTCTTCTGTAGAATGGGGTTCATATTTACGTTGGCCTTTGCTATCAGCCTTCCGTGGTGGGTAGGTTAAAGCACTTGGCAGTTACTGGGAGAACGATTAGCATTGGGCCATACTGGAAGCGAGTAGAACTCTGACCGGGCCAGCAGGATGGTACAAGCAGGTATAAGTGCTTGTCATCAAGGCCGAGAACTTCAACCTGAAATCGTTCTCTGGGAACTGCCTGGTGGAAGGAGATAACCTACTGCTACCTTCTCTGCCGCCCATATGCATGCTGTGGCAGGTGTGTTTGCGCGTGTGTGCGCGCGTGTGTGTGTGCGCGCGCGCACGTACACACACACACACATGCAGGCACACAGATTCTCCAACCCTCCTGCATTATTATTTCTCCTGTGTAATAGAATAAACAGGAATATTTTATTATAAATATTTTCATAGAATCTAATTTTAAATTACTGTGAGTGTGTGAGTGTGTGTGTGTGTGTGTGTGTGTGTGTGTGTGTGTGTGTGTGTGTGACTGCACATATGCCAAGGTGCATGAATGGAGGTCAGAGGACAACTAGTGGAAGTTGGTTCTCTCCTTGCACCATACCAGTCCCAGGGATCACACTCACATTGTTAGACTTGGCAGCGAGCGCCTTCACCTGCTGAGGCTTCTATTTTACATTTTTGAGACGGGGTCTCAGTAGGCCAGGCTGGCTGGGACTCACTTTGTAGATGAGGATGACCTAGAACATTCCTGCCTCCACATCCTGAATATTGTAGCTGTAAGTAAAACACCACCCCACCAGGCTAAAGTTACCTTCACACGCTTCCTGGTTGATGACAGAGGCATGTACGTGTTTCCAAATTACATTATGTGTGTCAGCGAGTGCATGCTGCAGAGTGTGTGTGTGTGTGTGTGTGTGTGTGTGTGTGTGTGTGTGTGTGTGTGTGTGTGTGAACGTCAGAGGATAACTTGTGACACTTGGCTCTCTCCCTCCACCATGTGGGTCCTGGGGATTGGAGTCAAGTCATCAGGCTTGGCGGCAAGCTCCTTTACCCACTACTCCACACCGTATGTTTTATTCACAAGAAGTCATTGGTGGACTAATTGTTCAAAGGGAATAAGCAGCAGGACATAAGCCCCGCCCCCCGCCGCCCCCAATAACCAGGGTAGGCAAACTCCTTTGATCTGAGTAACAAGAAGCTCTCATTCTCTTTGTCAGGCCTCAGATGGCTAAAGCCAACAGCAGTTTTAAAAACATCTACGTGGAAACATGGCCACACAACAGCCACGGAGAATGCTGTTCCCATTGCAGCCCCCGTGTGCGGCCTCCCTAGGAGCCTCCCATATTGTGTATTTGTGGCCTTAGCTGAATCATCTACATCTACCTCGAACAGTCTTGTCAGGGGTGTGTGTGTGTGTGTCTATGCTCTGTGTGCGCATATGTGTGGAGGCCACCTAGTTGCTTCTCATGAGTGATCCACTTACAGTTCTAAAGATTTTTAGTTTATATGTCTAAGTGTCTGGATGCAATACACATATTTACCATGTGCATGCACAGTGCCCACAGAGGCCAAAAGAGGGTCCGAGATCCCCGGAACTGAAGTTACGGATGGTTGTGACTCCATTGGGGGGCTGGGAACTGAACCTGGGTTCCCAAATCAGCAAGTGCTCTTAACTGCTGAGCCATCATCTCTCAGCCCAACCCTACCTCGTTTTGGGGGACAAGGCCTCTAATTTGCTGCTGATGCAGTGAGGCTGGCTGGCTAGCCAGCCCCAGGCTGGGCCTGTGTCTCCTGCGTCTCAGCACTGGGACTATAATGGTGAACCAATCATCTGTTTTAATTATGATGTGAGTTCAGGGGATCTGAACGGAGGTCCTCGTGCGCGTCGGCAGGCCCTTTACCACTGGGCTGTCTGCCCAGCTTCCCTAGGAATCTCCATCAGTCCTCACACACAGATGCTCAGCTCTGTACAGACACGCACCATGCCCTTCCACCCTGTATTACCAGTAACTAAGATGGCTCAGTGGGGTAAAGCGTCGGCCCTGCAAGCACAGGGACCCGAGTTCAGATCCCAGGGATCCATATAAATGTGGGGGTGGGGCGCTTGGTGACCCTCTTGCAATCTGAGGGGGTGGGAGGCCGAGACGGAGATCCCCTGAGCCAGCTGGCCGGCTAGTCTAGTTGAATTAGCAAGCTGGGTTCAAGAGAGAGAGCCTGCCTTCATATAGAAGATGGAGCAACTTTTGGCCTCTACATGCAAGTGCACACACACACACACAGAGCTGTATATATATACACACAGCTGTATATATACACACACACCCCTATATATATACACACAGCTGTATATATACACACACACCCATATATATATATATATACACACACACACACCTGTATACACATACACACACCTCTATATACACACACCCCCTGTACACACACACACACACACACACACACACACACACAAACACACCTGTATGTATACACACAAATTAAAAAATAAAGGTTACAGTATTTAGAAAAAAATCTTGAGGGCTGATGAGATGCCTCAGTGGGTAAAGGCACCAAGCCTCATGATTTGAGTTTGATCCTGGGACCCACATGGAAGGGGAGAACCAACTCCTGCAACTGGCCCTGTGACCTGCCTGTGTGTGCTGGGGCATTCATCCCCACCCCTACATATACATAATAAAAGCCTGGAGTCATCTTAAAAACATTTACACAAGTGGCGGTAACAAAATGGTCTTTATACCAAGGAGGGTCCTAGAACCAGGCGTGGTGGGTTGAATATGAAATGTCCTCCCCAAGGCTTGTGTTTGAACACTCGTTCCCAGTTGGGGGCGCTCTTTAGGGAGGTCGCGGAACCATTAGGAGATGGAGCCTTGCTGGAGGAGGCATGTCAGTGCTGAACCTCATCTCACTTCCTGTTCTTGCCGCTTCCTGTGTGTGTATAAACATGTACCCAGCCGCTTCCTGATCCTGCCATTGTGTTTTTTATGACTGTTGCCAAGCCTCGCCCACCATGCTGGACTCTATCCCTCTGGAGCCACAAGCTAAAATAAACTCCGTTAAGTTGCTTTTGGTCAGGGTGTTATAACGCAGCAACAGGAAAGTTAACAAGTATACCGCAGGATGCCGTTCCTACCACACACCATGGCTCCAGTTGGCGCCCCCGTCACTCCCTCTTAGAACGGATAACCCTACGAGTCTCAAAGCTGTGGCATCCTCCCAGAGAACCGACCCAGACTCACATCAGTCTCTGCAGAGCACATTCTGGATGTCGAATGAACTGACACAGCTGTCTCACTTCTTCAGCCCTCAGGCTGTTGTTTGACAGGCACAGGTGAGTCAAGGTCCGGTTGCTGAGAAGGGCTGAGGCCAGAACCTGGCAGCTGACAGATGTGAGGTCACAGCCGTCCAGTCTGCAAGGAGAGCCCCCCCCCCCCCAATAGAGGCAACCATGAGGTCCATTCTTATGGCCCCCCCCCCCCACTCACACACCAACCTTTACCACAGTACCACTAACGATGCCTAAACTACAGAACCAACCAGAGTGTCCAGCGATTGAGGAATTGATATGGAAAATGTGCATGCAGTGAATGGAGAATTTTTCAGCCATCAGGAAGAATGGAGTTACATCATTTGTAGGAAAACAGAAGCAACCAGAGACAAGTATATTAAGTGAATTGAGCCAATTTCATTTGTGGTTCCTAGATCTAAATTAAATTTTTTAATTATTTAAAAATGGTTATGCGGCTGGGCAGTGGTGCATGCTTTTTTTTTTTTTTTTTTTTTTTTGGTTTTTCGAGACAGGGTTTCTCTGTGTAGCTTTGCGCCTTTCCTGGAACTCACTTGGTAGTCCAGGCTGGCCTCGAACTCACAGAGATCCGCCTGGCTCTGCCTCCCGAGTGCTGGGATTAAAGGCGTGCGCCACCACCGCCCGGCGGTGCATGCTTTTAATCCCAGCACTCGGGAGGCAGAGGCAGGCAGATCTCTGTGAGTTCCAGGCCAGCCTGGTCTACAGAGTGAGTTCCAGGCTATACAGAGAAACCTTGTCTTGAAAAACCAAAAAATTAAAAAAAATGTTCATGTGTATGTGTGCATGTCCGTATCTATGTGCATGTTGTGCGGGTGCCCAGGAAGACCAGAAGAGGGCATTAGATTCTCTGGAGCTGGAGTTAGAGGGGATTATGAGATGCCCAATGTGGGTGCTGGTATCTAAACCCATGTTCTCTGGAAGAGCAACAGGTCTTTAACTGCTGAGCCATCTCTCCAGCCTCACACTTTGAGACAGGGTTTCTCTGTGTAGCCTTGGCTATCCTGGAACTCCACTCTGTAGACCAGGCTGGCCTCAAACTGAGAGATCCACCTGCCTCTGCCTCCCGAGTGCTGGGATTAAAAGTGTGTACCATCACTGCCCGGCCAGCCTCACACTTATTTAAAAGCTCGTTTCATTTATTATGCGCATGTATGGGGGGCACAGTGTGTTAGTCAGAGGACAACTGAGTTTACTCTTTTACCACATGGCTCTAAGGACCCAGGCGAAGATCACCAAGGCTTGGTGGCAATCTCACCAGCCAGCCCAGAATTTTATATAGATACATACAATTGTGTATGCATGAATGTCATGAAAATAAGAAATGAATGTGTCCAGGAGAATAAAGAGGAATAGTGCATTGGGATATGGGTGAGAAAGAATATGGGTGTATGAATGTATACGCTGAACATAAAATATATACACATATAGGGTCTGGAGGGATGGCTCAGTGGTTAAGAGAGCTTGCTGCTTTTCCAGAGGACCCTTAGTTCAGGCCCCAGAATCAATATTGGATGGCTCCCAACCACCTATAACTCTAGTTCCTGGGGATCTGATGCTCTCTCTGTCCTCCATAGGTACTGCCCTAATACCTATGAAATCAAGTCAATCTTCGTATGTACAAAGAACTTTTAAATATTTAAAAACTTCCCTGTCTTCCTGTCATTCCTTACCAGTTTTGTCTTGATGTGTGAGAGCACATGGGTACCATGGCTTGCACGTGGAAGTCAGGAAGACAGCTTAGTGGTTGTCCATTCTCTCTTTCTGCTGTGTGGGCCCTGGGGGTTGAATTCACGTTGCCGGGCATCTTTTGCCAGCTGATCCATCTCTCACTGGCCTATATTTGGTCTTTGTTATTCTCCTTCTCACTGAACATTATAAATCTAAGGGGCAGGGAGGACCTCTGTGTGGCAATAGACTGACCGTGTAATCTATGTGAATACATATTTTGACACAGTCGACAATGTGTAATCTATTCGATTACCTCATACTCAGCCATAAAAAGGAAGAGCTGCCAGACTGGAAAACAAAAGCTTTGTAGTCCCCTTCTCATCGGCCTGGGGCCAGCTAACTGCATCAACATACCTGGAGTTCTTAGGGTGCATGGATCAGATACTCAGTATCACTAACTGGGGAGGGGATGGAGGTCTCTGTTGGTGAAGAAATGGACACCAGTTGTATTGGACCAATGTCCAGCAACTATGTTGACATGTTTTTTTGTTTTTGCTTCTAGCCTTTAAGATTTTTATTTATGTGTATGTGTATGTAGGTGCAGTGCCTGCTGAGGCCAGAAGAGGGTGTCGGAGGCCCTGAAGCTGGAGTTACAGGTGGTTGTGAGCAATTTAATATGGTCGCTGGGAACCAAATCCAAGTCCTCTACTCAAGAGCAGCCAAGTACTCTTAAGTTCAAAGCCATCTTTCCAGCCTTGCCTCTGGCCTTTAAAGGGTGATGTACTATTTGGTTTTCAGTATTTACAGTGACTTTAAAGTAACAAACTTAGAGCCATGACAGGTGCCGGCCGCAGCTCTGAGCAGTGACCACGGATTTCATTTCCTGTTTTGCCAATTGCTAACAGTTCTCTCATGAATGAGTGACTTAGCCTAAAACTGCCTCCTCGTTTGCCAATGAGACTGAAGACAATGGCCATTCCAGAGACCTGTTTGTCTATGGAAGTAAAAGGCACCAGTAAGATCCAGTAAATCTCACTACGATTTAAATAACGGTTTCTATAATTACTACCTCATCCGTCACTCTCCGCTCTAATCACAGGACAATTTGACCAGTTAACGACTGACCTTCCTTTGGAGCGTTGGTCGTAAGGTACACGGAACCACCCCGCCCCATGTTCCCATGTTGAAGTATGTTTACAAAACAACACTCATAGACTGGTC